CAGGTCACTCAAGTCAGCCATATCTGATGAACCAAAGAGATAAATAGGAGTTTAAAATTCCATCTGAATAACATTAAAATAAACCTGTTAACATCAATTAATTGTTCTACAATATTAACAGAGCATAATGACAAAACTAGTTAAGAATTACATGATAAAGTGCATCAAGAATATGAGCCGCAAATGTTGACATGTTTTGCTATGACTTGTGGAACATTACCAGTAAGGAATATTAGATTTCTTTAAAATAGATAAATATCTTCTAGATTAACCCTTGTTGTTGGCAAGACACTTGTCTCAATGTATTCAACAGTTTGCAATCTTTGGTAATTCTGAAATCCTTTCCACTCGATACCCAATATAACACTTGTCTCACCAGATTTATATAAAACCGTTTGTAATGTTTTAGTATATTAAAGGTAGTATGTGAAATGCAAATCAAATCAAGCTTAAATATTTTATGAACTCTTGTTCAGAGGGAGGAGATGGTGCTGTTGAAAACTAACACTGGACAGCCAACAGTAATGAGAGTCGACTTACTGTATTCACAGAGTCGGGAATTAAAATTCGTCAACCCCTTTACAGTACAACTCTGGGTGGTTAGTGCCATTGCTTTTAATACATTGTCAACAGGAGGAGGAAGGTAAACCTGGTGGTCCAGAATGTCAGTCAGTCCTGCTCCAAGGTGGCCTGCTATTTGCTTACACCTGATCCACTCGGTTTGAGTGTACTCTTACGTCCAAACAAAAAACAAATAAAAAATAAAATTACACCATGACGCTTGGTACAAGATATCAAAATATGTATTTTCTGTTTAATGTGGTGGGGGTTCAGGGGATGGAGCCCCCAGCTAGGAAGTTAGGTAAGGTTAGATAGGTTTCTTTTGGGGGTTAGGTCAGGTTCTATTAGGTTCTGTGCATTGTCGTCATCATCTTTATTACTTGGTATCATCCAAAGAACATCTGTGAAAAAATGAACGAAATCGAACAACACGTTCTGGTGTTAGCCATCTGCTCCAGGATTACCTTATAATGAACAAAACCTGGCCGACGCTAAACAACAATTCCTCGCCTATAATAAAAAATAATTATAGCTTGAAATACCGACTTAAATATTTCGACGCGATTTTTTTTCATAAGAAGAAAAGTACCAATGGTTCTTCTACAAAATAGTAATAACAAACAGTAGATATGGTGCAAAGGTGAAGTAAACGGATTACCCTGAAAATTCGTCCCCAACTTATATCACCTGAAGATTAACAACCCTAATGCTACCTGGGAATATAGGTTAGGTGAGGTTAGATTATATTTAGGTTTAGAATGATTTAAATTTAGATTAGATTAAATAAAGATAGGTTGTGTTAACGTTCATTAGGTTAGCGTTATGGTGATTACTCTTCAGGTGATATAAGATGGCGGAACATGATGGGGGCGAATATTCAGGTGATCTAAGTAAAGTATTACAAAAGTCAGACCATTTCACACTTCCCACACCGGACCCACTAACTCCAGACACTAAAGTAACAATTGTTCTAAATAAAGTATCCCCTAAATGGGTATATACAGTCTCTGATCTTTGTAATTACCTGAGGTTTGGTCTAGTTGTTTGTCGTCAACGTATTAAATTAAACATTATTTCACCATTGACTCTGTGGAGTCATTTACCGATCACCATCTTTATGAACGAAAATACTTCACCCACAAGAGTCGAGAGAGACGTTCATGCCATAGAGTGAGAGAAATATCTTACTTTGTTTCTGAAGTTGTTGTAATATTGAAGACGTTAATTACACTCCCTAGTGCTGATGCCAGTTGTCTCCGGACTCGTAGTGGTGCTGCAATGCCCCGTGGGACGTGGCTCCTGCCTCAGCTGTGGCTATGGATTGGAGGAATGACACAGTTTGTTGTGCAGCTCTTGCCGTGTCTAGACACACTGCTCGCAGACATTGAAATGATTTATTGTAGTGAAAAAGCTTCGTGTCTTACCAAATGATGATACAGTATTCTGAAACAGCTTCGAGTCTTAATGATTGATGATATTACTAAACAATTTTGAGTCGTACTGTACCGAATGATGATATTACGAAACAGTTTCGAGTCGGCCGAATGAAGATATTCTGACGTAGATTCTCGGGGTCGTAAAAACTTTATTGGAAGAGATAAAATTTTTACTCTGCTCAGCTCCAGTGACCAATAATGTAAATAATAATATAAATAATAATAATAATAACATTAACGTCCTAAAGAACGAAAATATATAACAACTGTTCACTTGATCAATCTTTAATATAACACCACTTTACGTCAGCTAGTCTTGTTCTTCCGTGTCATTACCTCAAACGTGGATTACCTCCATTAGGTAGTCAGTGAGGCAGTGTATATCTTGACATGTTATGATATTTCAAGTTCTTTGTAGCATAAAAACGTTTACTATTTATCCTCATCAGTATAACGAATAAACACTAGCTGTAGCAACTGAGTCTTCCATACACTGTATGTTACGTGGTCTACTAGGCTAAGGTATAGTGAAACCTCCATATAACGGACTTCTCTCTATATTAATCCCCGATATAGATGTTTCATATCCAAAGGACCCTTGATATAACAGACGTTTGTCTCTATATAGTTCGTTAGATGGAGGTTTCATGTCTAACAGACCCTCGACTTAGAGTACTTTCCTCCCCATATAATCCGTTAAATAGAGGATCACTGTACACCACTCCTTTAACAGTCTCACCGATACTCTTAATATTTTCGCCTCATATTATGAATACGTCTGTTATTGGTTATGTCCGAGAGAGGAATATTTATCACCGTTTGCTCAGGTTCAGCTCCAACCATTGTTCCTACAACAGCCCGAGGGAAGGTGAATGTTTCAACCAATGTAAGAGGATTTGTTTTAACAGCCAATTCTGTTAACTAAATAGCTAACCATTTGTACTTTGTTCAACACGTTCATTTATGCAGACTTTATTGTTTTCCAGTACATTATTTAAGTCTGTTGAACAAATCCAACCAGGGATTTGTCAGAAAGGTCTCGCTGCTGCATCGAGAAATCTACTTTTAATCTATTTTAATTTATTAGGAACCATAGTTTCATTTGGTAATATTTCACAAATAATAAACGTTGGATAAAATTCAATTCACCAGCCCTCAAAGTATCAAATTTTTATTGTTCTGTACATTTAAAGTATTTCTCATAATAGCCAAAATATGACCTTGCTAGTATGTGTTCAGAGAATATAAACTTACATCACATTTCTGAAGATACACAACTATAAACTGTAGGCCATCATCCCTCGCGCTGACCTACATGTTATCTAAAGCTGACGGGTTTTTTACTGATATAAATCTTATAATAACCTTTCTTATGACAGCTTCACCGACACTTGTGGCTGCTGAGGAGAGACTCGCCTCGCTGCCTTGAGTTGTGTTCCCTGGACATAAGGGCGAGCGTGCCACAGTTATCATCCTGCATCACTTCTCCTTCGGGAAATGAATTCTTTCGTATCAGATGCCACAAACTGTGAGGAATCAGGTGTGTGTGTGTGTGTGTGTGTGCGAATATATATATATAGATATATATCTTGATAAAATCACACGGGAAAATGGAAACAACGGAGTACCTTAGCTTTCGTCTTTATTCAAGATGTCTTGAATGTGTGTTATCTTATCCACGTTTTCATTGTGGATTTACATGATATATATATATATATATATATATATATATATATATATATATATATATATATATATATATATATATATATATATATATATATATATATATATATATATATATATATGTGTGTGTGTGTGTGTGTGTGCGTGTAGCCGTCCCAAGTCTAACAGACACTGGCCATCAAGCTTTACGGCATCCCTCTGGGCTCGCGTCCCTCGTTGTTCTGACCAGGTAGGTGCAGCTCCCTCACTGATGACACAATTACTTGCTCCAAGTAATGGTCTATTATTATCAGTCATTGTACAGTTGTGTTACCTTTTAAATAGTCTCATGCCTGTGATGAGGGTCCCAGGAAAAGTGTGACGTTGTATGGCGGTGAAACATTCGCGGGCTTGAGCGAGCTGAAATGAGAATGGTGATGTGGGTGTTTAATATGACACAGAGGGCAGCTGGGTGTTGCGAGTATTGGCGAAGTTTTACATAGAGACTAACTGAGATGCTTGAGCATGTGGATGAGAACAATAATTGGGTTAAGAGATGCACGAGTCTAAATGTGGAGGGGACGAGAGCCAGGTGCAGGCCAAGAATGACATGGGAAGAGGTTGTAAGAAATGACAGAGTGAAGAACCTGACAAGAGAGAGACTGCAACAGTCTGCAGTATGAAAACTTACCAAATTCAGCTCTCTGCAAAACTGTGGAAATACATAAAGAACACACAGACAGGCCAAGTTAGATTAGGTTAGGTTATACAGTTACAACAAGCCTACAATACCAAATCCATCTCCCTTACTCATCCTCTCTCTCAAGTTATCATCTTTAAGAATTTCCTCTTCACTTTTGGATGTTTTGGTAAATTATTATTATTAGTCACCCTCGAGTGAGTCTTCCTTATGTTGGTCCTGTCATTATTCATTGTGTCACTTCCTCTCCACCAACACACTGTACTGTCGTCCTTCTGTAGGGTGTTGGAGTCCGCATCAGTCTGGTCTGGTCTGGTTAGTAAGTTGGACAAGGATCGTCTTCATTTAGAAAGAGAACGATAACTCACATTCTTAACAGGTTCTAAAAATATTCATTGAACTGTTGGCAAACTTTGAGTGACTTTATTGAACTAAACGTAAAGTTTCAGTGAATTTATTGAACTGCTCGAAAGTTTCAGTGAATTTATTGAATTGTTCGTAAAGTTTTAGTGAATTTATTGAACTATTCGTAAAGTTTCAGCGAATTCTTGAACTGTTCGGAAAGTTTCGTGAATTTATTGAACTGTTCGTAAAGTTTCAATCAATTTATTTCTATAGGAAGGAATAAAACACGGAAAGTAAATAAAACATTTAATTGGTTGGAAAAGCCCTGTAATTTAATATATCCATGCAACATATTCATGAAGGTAAGAGAGAACTTTGTTTACAATATATACACGCTGAGATGAGTAAAGGTAGAGTGACCAAGAGCTTTGATCTCTTCACCAGTAAGCGAGACAAGTACTGTGGTGTCGCCTTGTCAACATTCTAACAAATAAAACAGTTAGTATACAACTTCAGTTCGCTGTTAAGTGCTGTAGCTGTTGATACTTTATGAGGAAAAAACAATTATTTCTTGTCATCAACATAATGATGACTAAGAATAATTTCTTCACCGCCCGGGGCACTGAGGCACTGACGAGACATTGAGGAAAAAATGTGTCAAGTAAAAGACTAAATTCAGTCCTCAGATACTGTACTGGAAAGACTGAAGAAAGATCAATTAACTCTCAGATCTTGTTGTACAGTCAATTAAGTACTAAAGTCAATTCACCTCTCCTCCTGAATCACGAACCCCGAGATTCAGACTCGTGAACCCGAAGCAGGAGATTGATACATTACTGTGTCCATAAATGCTTCGGGTTCACGAGTCTGAATCTCTGGGTTCGTGGTTCAGGAGGAGAGGCGACAGGACTATGGTAGTTGACTATTGACTAGACAATAACTAGTATTCATAACTGTTTTGATGTTTTTGTAATATCACTTCACCAACACCTGAAGTAATGGCTCAAGAAGAACTAATAATGAGACATATAGGTGTGTTTAGTCTACCTGTACAGTACACTTTCCTCTTCACCTGGAAATATTGATTAACAAAACTATTCTATTGAAAGTGACGATATTACTTACTGATAAATAATTGTTCGTCATTCTGATATTTCGTATACCTGTATAAATTACAGCGTTTTATATATAGTATAGCGGGGGTTTTATAAATAGCGTTCTTCCTGTTTACATTACAACGTTCTTTCAGTATATAACGTTCTTTTCAATCCGTTAAATGTATTAATTTGTAGATACGTAAATCATTATTATAGGCACTAACAATACCTTCTATCGTCACGGCTGATGAAGAAGAATGAAAACAAGTGTTGAGGCGTAACGTGCGTGACTCTGGGACAATACTTCACCTCTCCTTCTCTCAGCATTGTTTACAAACATGGAGACATCGACGTGATATGTAAAACCGACAATGAAAGGGCAAAAATACACATTCATTATACACAGATAAACGCCACGGTAACATGTGTTATGGGAGTGTAGAAAGAGGCCATTATCATGTACACTTGACCATTGAAAACTATAACCAATTTCTACCACAGAGTTTTTGTTCGAAACTGTCTTCCAATGGTTCAAATTCCCTGGCTATATAAACATCTACTGTGGTACAGTATGAGGGAAAACATCCAAACATTCACCAATGAAGAATGTCACTTGTTGTCGTCGATATATTTCCTCTGGTGCACCAATCAGCGAGATATATCACCAATACCCCGACTGAGGCGCTTATCTTCCAAGGCTTTGCTAATATACAGGTTTCAGAGCCCCCAAGAGCCCAGGGAGCTGTCATTACAACTACTACTGTATATGGAAGCTAATACAGACCCCTGGCTGTGGAGTGCTAAAAGAAGACACATATAGGAAGGATTCTTTACATCAAGACTCCTGGAGGTGCAGTACATCATGGCAGCCACACGGATATTTGGGGTCCTCAGTAGAATGACTCACACACAGACAAGCAGAGCGGAACATGATGGAGTTTAACTATGACGTCAACAATATCTTACGAACAATAAATATATATACCTTGTTGATCTTCACTCATAACTGAAGATATGAGGTATACTTTAAACCACAAAATATCCAAAGATGACACTCCATCATTACACTGTAGTCTGCACGAGGAGAGTAAACAACTGTTGTCTGTTTCATCCACTGCTGCTGCTGGTGATTGTGTACTGTATACAAGAGCGGTGGGCTCTCACACTGCTGCTCCCATTCTCCGGCACTCTTCTTTAATGTTTAAGTTTTCGCCAGTCCTCGGTCACCTCCTTCACACGTCAGTCTCCAACGAACTCTGGCGACCGATGGCGGAGAATGACTGAGCTTTAGTCATAGCGCCGCTAGGTTGGACGCGTCCTTTGTACCTACGAAGCACCGGTGGTACGTTGGCGCTGGCGTTACTCTCCAGGGAGGTGATCTGGCGGGAAGAAGGCGAACTATTAGTGATCTAAGGAGCAACACACACACACACACATTCTCATGGGGATCTCAGAGGCTATAAGAATTACGTTTTCAATGTCGTTTTGAACTGAATCCCAAACCAATCTATTATATTACACAAACTATAACTTATTTCTTTATCAGTTCTTGAGATATCGCAAAGGTCGGTGCTTATTAACGACTGTATCTAATGAACCATTTAAATGAGTATGGATATGAACGAGGGAAGAAGTGAAAGTTATAAGAGAGAATAAGTTACCAATGACAGAGAAGAGGTAAGGTGTGTGACAATAAATATTACACTGAGAGACAACAACAAATTAAAACACACTAATTGATAATGAAGAACTAAACATGTGGATATAAAATGATGGTGAATAGTAGTGATGATAAGCCACAACATGTAAGTGATAAATAGCAGAATGAGGAGACAGAATAGTGAAACATAAAAGGATAATGGTTATGTTATGTAATGTTATGTAATGTTATGTTATGTTAGATGATATGACATGTATACAATATAATATGCTTTAACAATAATCGTAAAACCTACTTCACATTAAGACTGATTATGTCTACTTTGTGTTTGTCTGGCATGATATACATGTTATGCATACAGATAGTCATACGTGTTATACATACTGACAGTCATACACCAGAAATCTTACGTTAATGATAACAAACACAATTGCTCGAAAAACAGGAAAAATCTCTCAAGTTCTCACTGGTGAAAAAATCATCTACTCGAGGAAAAAAAAAACAATATTGTCGTCATTATTATTATTTTTTTTAAGTTAATATTACGAATGAGGAACATGCGAAAAAAATACGTGAATTGTGATGTTTACAGTGGGTGTGTATACGGGCGGACGGACGGGCGTGCTGTGTTACAATGGACCGTGTGTGTGTGTGTGTGTGTGTGTGTGTCCTAACTGGTGGACTTAGGAGACAACAGATGGAGGAAAGAGCCTGATGGAAGGTCGAGGTAAACATACTAATGAGGTGACAGGTGGATCTATACAGTACAAGGAGACACCTGCGTCCTGAGTCATGATGTCAACAACAGTATGGACATGCAGTAGGACAGACAGCGGGCCGACCTTCAAGCTAGGACGGACTCTATGAGATCTTTGTACCTGTATCTTAATACCTGTGTTGTCTGTTGACGTCGACAGTCACCCAAAGAGAGCATAAAATGTTGTAATTTTTGTTTCCGGTCTTCCATGCTGGTTGGTGGCGTCACCTGGCGTGTTGCGTCTCGTTAACGCCAGGTGAGTCACAACAACATGCATTTATTTGTTCTCATATACTGGAAGCACATGTCAGTCTATTCTAATATAGCAGCGTTATATCTTGCAGACAACTTTATAAAACTACCTTCTATATAACTATAAGATAAACACAATATATTACGACTATATCTACATACGTTTTAGTCTCATGTTTATAACTACCAATATTATCTAAGTAACTTTGTAGGCACGAAGAGCTACAAGCTACATGATACCTTAGCGGCTGCCCGCATCACCGCCGCTGTAAACGAGCAGGTCTGTCTAACGTTCTCTGAAACGAAGATCATTAAATTAACAGAGAGCAATAAAATGAACACAGGGACAACTTAATGTTCAGGACCGGGCAGCTGACCTAATGTTTTACAGGAGAGGTGAGCCCAGGGCGAGAGATCCAGTTTTTCCAATGAATGTCGTTGCATAATTTTTTCTAGGCTATAAATGGTTACAGCTGTTATACAGTACTGTACTGTACTGTACTGTACTGTACTGTACATCAACGGAGCTGTAATAATGGGGTGTATCATGAGCTCCACCAATACTTTACATGACTTATTGAAATATGCTCCCACCCTCCTCCTTCCCTACCTCCACCCTCCTCCTGCCCTACCTCCACCCTCCCCTTCCCTACCTCCACCCTCCTCCTTCCCTACCTCCACCCTCCTCCTGCCCTACCTCCACCCTCCTCCTTCCCTACCTCCACCCTCCTCCTTCCCTACCTCCACCTCCTCCTTCCTACCTCCACCCTCCTCCTTCCCTACCTCCACCCTCCTCCTTCCCTACCTCCACCCTCCTCCTGCCCTCCCTCCACCCTCCTCCTGCCCTACCTCCACCCTCCTTCCCTACCCTCACTCCCTCATTAGCCAGGAAGACGTTATTACTACAGACTATTGAACACATCATCAACAGACTATTAAACACATCATCAACAGACTATTAAACACATCATCAACAGACTATTAAACAGAGAGAAGAGGAGAGAGAAGAGGAGAGAGAAGAGGAGAGAGAAGAGGAGAGAGGAGAGGAGAGCGAACCAAGAGCACTGTACACTGTTCACGAATGGCTGTAGTATATATTCAGACGAGGAACAGGTCGGCAACACTCAAGATTCGTTCTCGAGAAGTACTGTATATTAGCTGTCGGGAACCTAATGTAACCTAACCTAACCTCGCAAGGAAGAAGTAAAAAAGACTAAAATCCGAACTATAGTGATCACAGCTACTTGTTTTACAGGTTAGGTTAGGTTAGGTTTAGAGTCATTACATTAATATTTTAAAACATTCTGGAAGTAAAATATACTAACTAGAGCCTCTGTGACAAACACCACGAAGGTATTTTAATAAGAGAACCTGTTTTGTTGTTTTACCCAAGACGACAGATACAATATAGATGAGAGCGGCTGGCGAGGCCACGAGGGAGGGAGGGAGTGTGGCGGTGAGAGGGGGGGTGGGTGGAGGCATGAATGACTAGAGGAAGGAAGACAGGAAGGAGTGAAAGCTAATGAGGGAGGTAAAATTAGCAGATTCAGTGAGAGAGACGGTGGCAGATAGAGAGAGACAGAGTGTTGTGAAGGACGATCAAAATACAGTAAATGGAAGGAATAACCAAGAAAAGTAAGTGTGGGGATAATGCACAAGGCAGAGGAGGAGGAGAGGGAGTGAGGGGCGAGGTGTGTAAGTCGTCACATATTGAGTGAGTGCCAGGCAGCAGCTGTCGTCAAGGCCATACAGGCAAGTTATTGAGTAGCTCCTCTCTCCCCTGGTCCCTGCACGGGGGTCTCCTGCCAGGGGGTCGGGTGTGCCCTCCAAGAGTCGGCAAATTATCGAGAGTGTGTTATTTTGGGAGAGTGCGTCATGAGAAGGGTATTAGACGGGGCGCTGCTACCAGATGTGTGAGCAAGTGTTAGTCTGTGAGAACAAAAAGAAGAATTATTCAATACTTTATACTGACGAAGGTTGAACAGATTTAGTGTCTGAAGAGATGACAACACTGCTTGGGGAGATGGTAGGCTTTGTTTAGGTAAAGGGAGAATTATTGTTTAGGGGAGAGGTTACGTTAGGTTAGGTTAAGTTAGGTTAAGTTAGGTTTGGTTAGGAATGTGTTTATCTTAGATTCGTATATCAATTCGCTTCAGTATTATTATCTATACATAAATATACTGTACCTTATGTCTCCCGGATACTAAGACAATAACCTAAGCAACAGTACTAGCGCTCAGAGAACTCACACAAGCTCACAGTTAGCGACTTGGTTTAGGAGAAGCTGCAGCGGCACTTGACATAATGAAATATGCCTGAGCAATTCGCCACAACACAACACATACTAAAAATATAAACATCTCCCAGCATTATACACACTATATAAACATCTCCCAGCATTATAAACACTGATTAAACATCGTCCATCATTATAAACATTGAACACTGTGAACAGTCTGTACAGTAAACGAGCGGTTGATCATGCAATTGTCAAAATGTTTAAATCATATTAGTTTATACCGTTAAAACCCTTAGTTCATATTGCTACTAATAAGCCCACACTGACAACAACGGTACTGTAAGGTCAACTCCAGGATAATTTTGTTTTTCGTAATATTTTTCCCATTATATAAATATAAGTAACCACAATGCTCGTCCTTGGTCAAAATACTTACACTGTACAACTTGCCACTATATTTCCTAATTTGAAAGCAAAATCTTAAAGTTGATATATTTCTTACTTTTATATAAATTATTCAACAAATTATCAATTATCATCAACAATTCTCAACGCTGCACAATGAAAAAACGTAAGAGTAAGTAAGACAAGGCGCTTTATGTCATTCATTGCCAGAAAGACAAATATTTTGTCTCTAAGTATCACGGATTAGTGCAGCCGATGAAGAGAGAGAGAGAGAGAGAGAGAGACAGAGAGTATTGCACAGATCGGCTCAAAAATTGGTTGTAGTGACTAAGAATTACCAAACCAAAATTGAATATCTTAGGATAGCATTTTACTCCTTTTATCTCAAGGTTGTTATCTTTAACGACAGTGTACAGTACAGTCGAGGGAAAAGGTCCTGCAGTCACTCTCTCCCACCCATGAACCCTGAAACTCATGAACCTGTGAACCCGAAACATCACACAATGCATCATCTATGGTCCCAACACTGTGTCATGTCTCGGATTCACAGTTTCACGAGTCAGGGTTCATGGAAGAGATGAACTACTGACAGGATTTTTTACCGTGACTGAACTCCATCACTGGGCATCCGGATATGACAAAATAATTCTGACAGAGCTTTAATTCTTCAACTAAAGACAGAATAAAGTGTTTGTGGACCTCAGCGTCTTCTGTCTGTGTGGTGAAACTCTGTCATTAATACCAGATTATAAGACTTCCCCTCTGGAGTTGTCCTTTAACGATAACAAGAAATGGTCTGAAGGCAGTAGAAGGCTCACACTTAGAGGCTCTCCAGTGCTAGGGCTTCTCCAAGGAGGCTTCAGAGGCCTTCTGTAGGAGGATACAATGACTGGTGTGAAGACCTTGAAATAGAAGTGTCTTGAATGGGAGGAACTTTAATGTGTTTATTGTGGTGACTGTTGAGGAAGGTTGTTAGTGTGTGTGTGTGTGTGTGTGTGTGTAACAGTGTCGTGTTAAGATACACGTGTTGAAATGTTTTATAAGTTACCGTGTGCATTTTGTAATAAGCAATCAGATTTTGTCATTAATATTGCTAAACACACGTTTTTACCACCATACAGTATAGCGTTTGATTGCGTGTGTAATTGTTGTCCCGCGCGTGCTCTATTTGGTAAGCTTTTCATCATGCGTGGAAACATAATTTGTAAACTATAATGGTGTAACTTTCACGTAAAAAATAAATTACAGTAACCATGAACAAGGGTCATGTTGTATAGGCATATTTGTTGCTTTACTTCATAAGGTAATACACTTCTACGGAAAAATGTGTATTGGCAACACTTCTAGGAAAAATGTGTATTGACAACACTTCTAGGGAGAAAATGTAAATCGGTTCCTCTTCTAGGGAGAAATGTATATATAGGATTCAAAACAAAGGGCAGGACGCGACTAACTTGTTAAATTATAAAGTTTAACTCACCTTTGGGGGAAAGATTTTACACACAAACGTCTGTAATATTATCCTGACCAGTACACGCGAGGCAGCTGTTGTGTACTGACCTCTAGTTCAGTGTTATTGAGGGATATACTGTACTGTACACAACAAGGATATACTGTACTGTACACAACAAGGATATACTGTACTGTACACAACAAGGATATACTGTACTGTACACAAGGATATACTGTACTGTACACAACAAGGATATACTGTACTGTACACAACAAGGATATACTGTACTGTACACAACAAGGATATACTGTACTGTACACAACAAGGATATACTGTACTGTACACAACAAGGATATACTGTACTGTACACAACAAGGATATACTGTACTGTACACAACAAGGATATACTGTACTGTACACAACAAGGATATACTGTACTGTACACAACAAGGATATACTGTACTGTACACAACAAGGATATACTGTACTGTACACAACAAGGATATACTGTACTGTACACAACAAGGATATACTGTACTGTACACAACAAGGATATACTGTACTGTATACAACAAGGATATACTGTACTGTACACAACAAGGATATACTGTACTGTACACAACAAGGATATACTGTACTGTACACAACAAGGATATACTGTACTGTACTGTACATAAGGATATACTGTACTGTACACAAGGATATACTTTACTGTACACAAGGATATACTGTACTGTACACAAGGATATACTGTACTGTACACAAGGATATACTGTACTGTACACAAGGATATACTGTACTGTACACAAGGACATACTGTACTGTACACAAGGATATACTGTACTGTACACAACAACAAGTACTACATATGCACGTGTACTCATACATATCCTGAATGTAATACTGACTCTAACATTATTATTATAGTTTATAGTTGAATACCTTCTCCGAAACACACACACACACACACACACACACACACACACACCTCATTTCTCATTTCTTCCTCTACCCAACCCTAACCTAACCTAACCTAACCTAACCTCAGGAATATGAGTTAAAAGATTCCTTGCATGCCAACTCACCGATGCCATGGAGGCTGTGTCACCGTCGAAGCTGCTGGCAACCGCTTTGACATTGGGTCCGTCTCGGCTTGTACCTCGGTCCACGCTGAAACACACACACACACCAGTAAGAGAGAAGGAAAACGTGAAGGTGAGTAAAAAGGGAGAGGAAATATTGTATAATGCAGAGGGAGACTGAGAGAGAGAGAGAGAGAGAGAGAGAGAGAGAGAGAGAGAGAGAGAGAGTAGGTAATAAACTATTATGAGGTGGACCAGAAAGGGAAAAAAGGGAAGACTCTTCTAACTAAGATGACAGACTGATGAGCAACACGGGAAATTTAGGGTAAAATAATCTGAACAACGAATCAAGTTAGAAAGAGAAAGAGAACGGGAACAAAGAGAGGTATTATCTGAGAGAAACGGTGACAGAGAACAACAATGACTGAGACACAGGGGACAGTGTGAGCCAGTGTGAGCCCCGTTGTGGGTCAACGACCTATGACCGGGCGGGCTGTTCCCCGTAAAAAGTAATATATATATATATATATATATATATATACACAATCAACACCTCAACCCGCCAGGATTCGAACCCACGGCCCACAAGCCCATGACTGTGACAGGGGAACGCTACCTCTGGACCACCAGGATACTAAAAGCAGTCCTAGACTCTGTTATATTTCACTCAAAGCCTGTTCAACGAGCTTATGGCGCCGTGAACCTCTAATGGGGACTACCCGTATCACGTAGGTGGTCAGAGTAACGTTTTACCAAATCCGGCTTCGAAACACGAGGATCCATATATATTTCATTAGCCCAATAAAGCACGCGGGTTCGAATCCTGGCGGGTTGAGGTGTTGATTATATGTAGAAGTCCGCGTGCTTTATTGGGCTAATATATATATATATATATATATATATATATATATATATATATATATATATATATATATATATATATATATATATATATATATATATATTCAGGATCCAAGAACTGTGGTTAGTGAGAGGACACAGCAACGGGTGGTGAGGGCGAGACGGATCCCCAGGCTGTGTTTCCTGCCAGGCGTGAGCAGAGAAAGGAAGACGAAAGAGAAAGGAAGAAAATCCTAAAAACAAAGGAAAGTTAAATGTTAATAAAGTGTATAAATGTGAGAATTCGTACAGGGAAATGTTTACATAAAAAACAATAGCCGCTCACCTCTGAGACCTGGAGGGCGGCCCCAACTTGAAGAGTCCCTTTATCTTGCCTTTCACTTTACTTTCTTTCTCTACCTCATCAGGGATATCATTGCCCGAGCCGCCAACACCCACGCCCATCGCCTTAACACCTGCCCCCACAATGGAGCCGCCCGTAGAGGATTCCTCGATGGAGCGAGATTTCGTCAGCTTGGATAACATGCCCTTAACGCCCTTCTTTTTCTTCTTTTCACCCAAGACGTCGAGGTCGCTCGTCTGAGACCCCGTTGAGATCCTGAAAGAGAGAAGGAGGAACTATTCACAGCTGTTTATAAAGACTTAATGAGATAACTCGACCCAAAAAAATATTTCTGGTAAAAGTTTTGTGGTTCATTAATTCTGACCTTGAGTCAATATGTATTCAGGTTTTGTTTTTACTCCACTATTACTTTATTAATAAGTCCGTTACTGAGAGGGTTTACTGTATCCATTATTATATTGATAAGTCCGTTATTGAGAGGGTTTACTGTATCCATCATGTTCTTGAGAAGTCCGTTGCTAAGAGGGTTTACTGTATCCATTATTATATTGAGAAATCCGTTATTGAGAGGGTTTACCGTATCCATTATTATATTGAGAAGTCCGTTATTGAGAGGGTTTACCGTATCCATTATTATATTGAGAAGTCCGTTATTGAGAGGGTTTACTGTATCCATTATTATATTGAGAAGTCCGTTACTAAGAGGGTTTACTGGATCCATTATTATATTGAGAAGTCCGTTATTGAGAGGGTTTACCGTATCCATTATTATATTGAGAAATCCGTTATTGAGAGGGTTTACCGTATCCATTATTATATTGAGAAGTCCGTTATTGAGAGGGTTTACCGTATCCATTATTATATTGAGAAGTCCTTTATTGAGAGGGTTTACTGTATCCATTATTATATTGAGAAGTCCGTTACTAAGAGGGTTTACTGGATCCATTATTATATTGAGAAGTCCGTTATTGAGAGGGTTTACTGTATCCATTATTATATTGAGAAATCCGTTATTGAGAGGGTTTACTGTATTCATTATTATATTGAGAAGTCCGTTATTGAGAGGGTTTACTGTATCCACTATGTTATTGAGAAGTCCGTTATTGAGAGGGTTTACTGTATCCACTATGTTATTGAGAAGTCCGTTATTGAGAGGGTCAGTGGTGGCTCACCTGTCGAGGGAGATGTCTCTGTCATACTTGGCTCTCCGCATGTCGTCGGTCATGGTCGAGTCTATACTAGTAGTGCTGCCAGCGTCCGTCGACACCCAGATCTTGTTCTGTTAATAATACCTTCACTTATCATACCTTTACTTATTAACGATATTGTAAGTCAAGTTTATTATTATACCTTCACTTATCATTATATCTTCATTTATTAACAATATTATAAGTCAAGTTCAACATTACAAAGAAAACATAACTAATTCACATGTTTTATATTACAATAATATATCAATAACTCATGTACTCTAAAAAGGAAAATCTTACTAAGTCACAACACATAACATCTTGAAGCTAAGACAACAACCACAACTGTACTTAACAACAACTATTTAAGGATTTCTCGTTATGGAAAACCCAACAGGTTGAAATAACTTAGAAAATGAGTCTTAATTTTTCTTCTGTTATTAATTTGACCTTATAGGAATATTTAGATTAGGTTAGGTTAGGTTATGAGGAGATAATAATGAAAGGTTAGGTTAGGTTAGGTTAGGTTATGAGGAGACAATGATGAAAGGTTAGGTTAGGTTTGGTTAGGTTATGAGGAGACAATGATGAAAGGTTAGGTTAGGTCACTTACCCTATCCTCAGCCATCTGGTGATCCAAGGATTGAGCTTTACGGTATAACGCTCTCTGACCCTTGGCTCCAGGTTTGTGTAGAGTACCTCGCTGTTGGCTCCGGGGCCGTAGTGGTAAGCCTTCGTCCTCACTATCCAAGTCTGACAACGCTCTGAAACCAAACAACAGTAACGGCTACAGTTTGTTCCAAATACTTGTACTACAAAGTTATTCATTTAGTCTTTCACATAATAATGATATTCTGTACACTGGTGCGTATTGCGGTATATATAGATAAATAATGGTGAAAGTGCATTGAATATACATAGTTGATAGTTACAGAGCAATAATTTGTATGTACAGCATCATAGATCTGGTACAGATGTGTATGAACAACGTATTTACAAACCTAACCTAACCTAACCTAATCCTAAGAAATTTTATCTCGGTATAGTTTGGTTATGATGGTAAACGATGTCTTCAATGAAACAGAGCGAAAAACTTCCGTTAAGGAAATCTGATTACAAATAATTTACCTCCTGACGTCATAATAATAACCTAACCTAACCTATCTCTGACCTTCTGAAGGAGGGAGCTCTTCTAAGTCTGTCTTTATCGTCTGAGAGGTTCATCATTCTCTTCAGCTCCTCCATGTTCCTACACGCCTTCTTTAGCGACTCCGTGAACTCCTCCTTCGTCTTAGGCTTGGCGTCTCCCGCTGTATAATATATGGATATAAGCTATGTTACATAATATCCTTAATGGTGGTACTATAAGCCATGTAACAGTAATATAAAATGTATTCCTGGATCAATATTAACTATTTATATATAAATCATTAAGGGCTATACAGTATTAACATTGTATAAATAAAAGTAGATCATTAATATAAAAAAAACAGTTTTATTGTTTCTAAAATATTTATATAAAGAACTTATAAATTCATTGGATCTGAAGGTTATTGAAATATATTAAGGTTAAAGCGTTATCTGAGCGGTGCTGAGACAACATATGTCTGTGGGGAGGTAAAGTCATCACAACAACAGATAAACCCTTAAGAAGTCATCACAACAACAGATAAACCCTTAAGAAGTCATCACAACAACAGATAAACCCTTAAGAAGTCATCACAACAACAGATAAACCCTTAAGAAGTCATCACAACAACAGATAAACCCTTAAGAAGTCATCACAATAACAGATAAACCCTTAAGAAGTCATCACAACAGATAAACCCTTAAGAAGTCATCACAACAACAGATAAACCCTTAAAAAGTCATCACAACAGATAAACCCTTAAGAAGTCATCACAACAACAGATAAACCCTTAAGAAGTCATCACAACAACAGATAAACCCTTAAGAAGTCATCACAACAACAGATAAACCCTTAAGAAGTCATCACAATAACAGATAAACCCTTAAGAAGTCATCACAACAGATAAAACCCAAAGAAAAGTCATCACAACAATAGATAAACCCGTAAGAGAGACAAGTTAAGGTACCAGAAGTGTGTTTACTTACGCAGTTTGGTGAGGGAGCCGTCACGCCCGTCAATAGCTTCACCCAGCACTAGTGGAGCCAGATCCTTCACCTTCCTCATCTGTCGGTAGAATATTTTGATTAAGGACGGATTTTTTTGTTTCTCAGGTTAAAAGTGTAAATAATCCTCATTTTCTCTAAATAAATACGATGGAATAAATGTGTAGGGAATGAATATATGAAAAGAGAAAGATGAACAGAGGAATAAGCGCAGATAGAGAGAACGAAAGAGAGAGAGAGTGAGAGACAAAGGGAAGAGAATATCTGCCTGGCATTCATGTGCGTACATCAGCTTCAACCACAACACTGACACCACCAAATAAGAAATGAAAATATAGAAGTCCCACATCACAACACACACACACAAGGCATCCAGGAATAAGGAGCACAAACAACAGAGATACATTCATATAATACCTAAACAGTTAACATAACGACACACTCACACAAAGATACTGTATTTATATGAAACAAACAAACATACACTTTTATATAACTTAATGATCAAACACTTAACAATTAAAAAAGTATTTAGTATTTTATATAATAATATTAAATTTTCCATACATGGTTATAGTTAATTGGTGAGAAAATTGCCTTCACTTTTTGTTCAAACATTTGTCAGAAATATTGGCCAGGATCTCGGGGAGGGTAGCGACCGAACCTGCAAGAGTCACTGAACTCTCAAAGGCTGATGGAAACATGTAATTTTCTAGAGCCAGTGGGAGTAATGGCTGGGAAATTACAGTGGACGTAGGGTAGATTAACTACGCCCATTACTCGGGGGAAACTTTTTTTTTTGGGGGAGGAAATTTAATAAAAAAAACTCACATTAGGTATGAAACAAATTAAATACAAACTGGGTTATGGATAGAGATGGTGTTTTGTGATGTAGTGTGAGATAAAACTTGGAAATTTGGGATATAAATAATTATGTTCAAAATATCAAACGTATTATGGGTTGGTAGTCAATAGGCGTCTCTCCTTCCTACCCTCACCTTCCTCCTACCCTCACCTTCCTCCTACCCTCACCTTACCCCAACCTATACCTCCTCACCTCTCCCCTACCGTGACCTTGCCCCTACCCACACCTCCTACACTGACCTTGCCCCTACCCACACCTCCTACCCTGACCTTGCCCCTACCCACACCTCCCATCCTGACCTTGCCCCTACCCACACCTCCTACCCTGACCTGCCCCCACCCACACTCCCCATCCTGACCTTGCCCCTACCCACACCTCCCATCCTGACCTTGCCCCTACCCACACCTCCTACCCTGACCTTGCCCCTACCCACACCTCCCATCCTGACCTTGCCCCTACCCACACCTCCTACCCTGACCTCGCCCCTACCCACACCTCCTACCCTGACCTCGCCCTTACCCTAGCCGTGCCCCGTGTGACCTTACCTCGTCTGTTAGCCGCTCCATCTTGGCCTGCTGGTTGAGGTGTTCCCTGGACGTGCCCAAGAACTTATCTCTCATAGCCTCCCGCTCCACCTCAGTTCGGTCCTTCTCCCGCCGCAGTTTCTCGTTGATCTGCCGCAGCTTGGCGTGTGCTTCCCGCAGCTCCAGTAAGTCTCGCTGCAGCTGTGATGATGAACCAGAGATTATGTCTGTCATTGTGGGGGAGATTATGATGGTGTGTTGGGGAGAATATGGTGTGTTGGGGAGAATATGATGGTGTTGGGGAGAATACGATGGTGTGTTGGGGAGAATACGAAGGTGTTTTGGGGAGAATATAATAGCGTGTAACGTGTGGTACATCAGGACTATGGGACCCACTCTCAATTTCTAGTCCCATAGAGTTGAAAATTCTAAACAAGGTTGTGGTACCTGAGAGGAACCTTTCATTAAGAAACATTACTGTACTACACCTTCCCGCCTTACCTCCTGAACCTTGGTCTTGGTGTCTGTCGTCTCCTGACCCACCGTCATCTTCAGTTGGTCTATCTTCCTCTTCGCCTCCAACCTCTCCAAGTCCCGCTCTCGCTCCACCTCGTACAATGTCTGGCGGTACATAGTAACTCTGGTAACGCACGCTTCCAGCCTTATTTAACCCCTTGAGTGTGATATCATAACCCCTTGAGTCTATCTTATCCCCTTGATGATATCTTAATCTCTTGAGTATGATATCTTAACCCCTTGAGTCTATCTTAACCCCTTGATATCTTAATCTCTTGAGTACGATATCATAATTCACAGTAAATTAGACAACAATTGGTAGAGTTAGTCGTCGGGAATCGTATATGTACAATCACTCAAACAAAATTGTGTTGAAAAAAATTTGACACAACCAGCGAAGGATTTTGACAACCCTACCGAGACAACAGAAGTCGTATTGTTCATTCTGAAATTCATCGTCACCCCAAGTACAGATAGTTTGTTGATTGACTGGACAAGTAATTTATCATCTGTATTTATAACTTTTTCAAACATTTACATTGAGTTAGTCTCTCTCTCACGTAATAATAATAATGTTACTTTAATAGTGAAGGTAATTAGGTTTTAAAAGGTGAAAATAATTAACACATATAAATAGAGGATTAAGAGTGGAGAAAACAGTTTAACTATTATTGATGACAATGAAGTGACTATTGTATGTTATAAACACTTCACCTCCATATACCGCGGCCTAAAGGTGTTCTTAACCTGGCATTCAGAATACCGAGGTAAATGTCAGAGTAATATCACGTAAGATTGCCTTTCATCGCTTCAATGGCTCAAAGAGATTGACTGGAGTTTATCCTTGCCGAGCGTGGCAGGTTAGGTTAGGTTAGGAGTTTGAACCTTACCTGCCGGAGGTCCTTAGCGAGCGTGGCAGGTTAGGTTAGGTTAGGAGTTTAAACCTTACCTGCCGGAGATCCTTAGCGAGCGTGGCAGTCTCCTGAATGAGTCGCTGCTGCTCCTCTCGCTCCTTCTGCCAGTTCAGCTCGAGACGGGTTCTGAGGCCAGGTACTCGCCGACTACCACCAACCAGTAGTCGGTCCTCTTCATACTGACGAGATAAAAGTGTTGAGAATGTTTCTTTATGCCCAAGAAACTCCCATGAATTATATAACGAAATAACACTGCTACTCCAACGATAATATAAGGAGTAAGCTATATAGTGTAAGAGCTCAGTTATTAGGAGTAAGTTATATAATGTAAGAGCTCAGTTATAAGGAGTAAGCTATATAATGTAAGAGCTCAGTTATAAGGAGTAAGTTATATAATGTAAGAGCTCAGTTATAAGGAGTAAGTTATATAATGTAAGAGCTCAGTTATAAGGAGTAAGCTATATAATGTAAGAGCTCAGTTATAAGGAGTAAGTTATATAGTGTAAGAGCTCAGTTATAAGGAGTAATTAATATACCGGTAATGTAAGAAACAGTCATCTCACCTCGTTAAGTTTAGTTTGTAAGTCACATAGTTGGATCTCGAAGTTGGTTTTTTGGTCAATAGCTCCGTTCCTGAGTTTGGTGTTCTCCAGACGTGCATCAGCCAACTTATCCTCAAACTCTGTGATCTGGGCGTTGAGTTCTTGTGTCTCCAGGAGGTGCTGTTGAGCCTGTAAGAACACAACCGTACCCACACACCTCAGGTTAGTAAAGTATCTTGTTTGTTTACCAACTCAGAAATTTGGACGAGAGAAATATAAATCATGTAGTCTTATCAGCGATGTTAAGGGGAAGACATCTTGGATATGTTCTATACAGTGAGATCTCCTTCTAACGGACTTCTTTCTATTTATTATTATCCGTTAGATGGGGAAGGTTCTCATTTAACGGACCCTCGATATAATGGATTTTCCTCTCCATGTAGTTCGTTAAATAGAGGTTTCACTGTAGTTGAATTCATTGAAACAAATCATGAACTGTCGTATCTATTTCCTTCATTAAACTTGAACAGGGGGTTGAAGTGTCACATATGGTCAAGATGTTATTGGTTGGACAGTCTAGCTAACTCTACGTACAGTATAGTCACTACGCACTGTGCAGGTCACGATCATTATTCAGCTTCTATTGTGTGTATCAGGTAAGTCTAGTCAAAGAAGCTAAACTCTAGACACATAAGAGAACACGCCACAGAACTCAAGTACAAAAAGCTTCACACAGGAGGCGAATCAAGACTGACGAAGCAGACTAATTCGGTCGACAAAATCTTCAAGTACACTCGCTAATAAAAGTCCCGTTGCTTCACTTGCCTCGTCATGTGAATCTCTAGCTTCACGAAGAGGCAGGTGAGGCGACAGGACTTTTGTTAACGAGTGTGTACAACCAATAGTGTGAATTTACTACAATAAAACACAATATGCTGAAACACATATTGGATGGGTTATAAAAATAGGAATATTCAATGAGGCTAAAATCACTATAATCTGCTTCTGTCGTTAGATGTGGAGAGGAGTACACTGGTCTCTCCAATCTCTGAGAGTAATAAGCTTATAGGATGATTTACTATAACAAAATACTTTAGAGTAGCGTAGCATAGCAAGTACCAGAACACGACATCGTTAGGCATTATAGAGATCCTCCCTGTCTTTATCCCCCTGCTCTCTATAGCTCATTTACGTGTATATAAAGCAACTCTTTCGACAAACATTAAATAACTTAGAATTATTATTTTTTTATTTAATGTTTATCTCAAATAAAATCAAGTCATTATTTTACTATATATTAAATTAACTGTATCTACCCCCCCACCCCACCCCCCACCCCCTCCCCAAAGGAAATCAACTGCAACCTATTTTTTGCCACAGAGATAATGAGCCAATTTAAGGTGTATTCTTGATGTAAGTTTACCTTCTGAAACATATTACAGAAGAATGGCAAAAACTCATCTTCCTGGGCGTATTATCCATAGCGGGAACTTTTACTGTTTCAAAGAGAGAGAGAAAGTGCCCATGATATGACCCTTTACTGTATCAAAGAAAGAGAGAAAGTGCCCATGATATGACCCTTTACTGTATCAAAGAAAGAGAGAAAGTGCCCATGATATGACCCTTTACTGTATCAAAGAGAGAGAGAAAGTGCCCATGATATGACCCTTTACTGTATCAAAGAAAGAGAGAAAGTGCCCATGATATGACCCTTTACTGTGTCAAAGAGAGAGAGAAAGTGCCCATGATATGACCCTTTACTGTATCAAAGAGAGAGAGAAAGTGCCCATGATATGACCCTTTACTGTGTCAAAGAGAGAGAGAAAGTGCCCATGATATGACCCTTTACTGTGTCAAAGAAAGAGAGAAAGTGCCCATGATATGACCCTTTACTGTATCAAAGAGAGAGAGAAAGTGCCCATGATATGACCCTTTACTGTATCAAAGAGAGAGAGAAAGTGCCCATGATATGACCCTTTACCCATGATATGACCTGTGTAGTGCCCATGTGTATCAAAGAGAATGTGAGAGAGAGAGAGAGAGAGAGAGAGAGCCAAGGCAGGACGGGACGGGAGGATCTGACCGCAGCAAGACAGTGTGATGAGTTAACTCTGGCGTCAGTTGTTATTATTATCATCTTAGTTACCTTCAGGCCCGCCTTGCGCTGGACCGCCGCAATCTATGAGTAAAAGGTTTGTTACTTACTCCTGTGCTGGCTAGACCAACAGGTGGGAACAAGTGGGAGGCGCAGTGAGGAGCTACAGGTGAGGAGGGAACAGGTGGGTGTGTAAAGGAGGCGCAGTGAGGAGCTACAGGTGGTGAGGAGGGAACAGTGTGGAGCTGTGTAACAGGTGGGTGTGTAAAGGAGGCGCAGTGAGGAGCTACAGGTGGGGGAGGGAACAGGTGGGTGTGTAAAGGAGGCGCAGTGAGGAGCTACAGGTGAGGGAGGGAACCAGCAACATTAATATAGACAAAATGAATATATACACAACGACCACTGATATAGAATAAGATGCGGTGGACATACACAGGACAGAAGAATAACAGTCATGGTATTTTTCTACACATTAAGACACATTATATCTTCTTGGTACACATAACATTATCAAGTTATATACCCAGCATAACACTATTACAGCACATACTTTTAACAGGTGAACTATTTTACCTAAACACAACATTACAAATAGGCTAAATTAATACAATAAGTCTATAATACACAATGTACATGTTTGTGCTGTATGAAACTCTCTTCTATAAGGAATTGGTTCTCACTTATACTGAAAAAAACTACAGCATTTCTTCAATTATTTGTAATGTTAATTCCTAGTTCGTGTCTCTGTATTGAGTGTATGGAACTTACTCAGAATGTTCATTTACATCCGTTTTCTGTGTTATACATAGATCTATTACCTTCATTAATCCTTCACTATGTATATGAAGGATCTAATTTATACATACTGTGATACATAGGTCAGTGAAGCTCTCTACCCGAGCTGGTGTTATTCTGGTCACGTCTCATTCATCAAGATCTATAACACTGACTTTGTACTGAAATGTAAATATTCCCCTTTGTCTGACAGGCTAGAGTTAGGTTTGGTTAGGTTAGGTTGGGTACTTTAAGACCTTCCCGCCTGACACCATAAGACCTTCCCGCCTGACACCATAAGACCTTCCCGCCTGACACCATAAGACCTTCCCGCCTGACACCATAAGACCTTCCCGCCTGACACCATAAGACCTTCCCGCCTGACACCATAAGCCCTTCCCGCCTGACACCATAAGACCTTCCTACCTGACACCATAAGACCTTTCCGCCTGACACCAGCCATCACAGCCATCACTATATTAACAATGGCGGCTCATTAAACTCTTTTACCTGTTTCAATACTTCAGATTTTTTGTTATAAATTCTCACATTACCAACTGAAGTATTAACATAATTAATCTCCCATTATTAAGATTGCAAATAATCACACGAGTAAATAATCTTAAATATCACCATTATCCAAGAGCAGACGACAGCGAAGAAAATATCACCACAGAAGTCTTGTTATTTTTCCCACCATTTCCAATACCACTCATACCAACATACCGTTGACGCTGTAAACATACTGCCATTAAATCATTAACCTTGTGATTTAAAATAATTTATAAATTATGATGAAATAGTAATATATTCTATCGCTATAACTCATTGTACATAACCTAACCTAACCTGTACCATCATCAACACCATCACCTAAAACAGTGACCAGAATAACCACATCACTCATCGCTATTCCTAAGCAATAACCATAATAATACTAATACCAATAATAATACTAATAATAATAACTATTATAGTAATAGTAATAATAATAATAATAATAATAATAATAATAATAATATTATTAATAATAATAATAATAATAATAATAATAATAATAATAATAACTCTGGGTATCATATGTGTTTGTGAATTAATATATAATGGAGTGTCTCATTATTGTCTTCATTAACATAGACTGAAAAAAATCTATTGCTTCTTGTTAAACTTAAACTACATCATCAACAACTACGCTGTCTGATACAGTAGTCTGCCATTTAAATACAGTACCAGGAAATTCTGTCTGTATGGCTGATGTATTTTGAGTATAGTAAAGTACAAGTGATCGCGGGCACGTTCGTGCCCAGTGAAAGTTTGAACGTTCGTGCTTGGCTAGCGTACAGCGAACGAGAGTGAGCCAAGTCCGTAGACGTGCATGGTTAATTAGGGTGCGCCAAGTCCGTAGACTTTCATCGTCTTCCATCGTAAATAAAATTGTTAATTAATGCCTTCCTAAAGAAATCTTCGACATGGGACCAGGTTTGTTCCACTCTACGATTTTTTTGCGATTTTTCCACCAACTAGTCCTATAGTATGTTAGATTGTAGACGCAAAATCATTATATCTTAATTTATCACTAATAGGGAATATTTGACCTATCCCAATAGCTACCGTCTGAGAAATGAAAAAACAACTAAACGGAACCTAACCTAATATAACCTAACCTGACCTGACCTAACAGAGGGAAAATTTGACCTATCCCATCTACCGTCTGAGAAATGAAAGAACAACCTAACCGAACCTAACCCAACCAAACTTCATTGACTCCCACACCACCTTCGAGTACCCTGTCAGTATAAACATCACCTCTGTGGCATTGTCAGCTCTCGAGGCCCTGAAGTTAGAGTTGCCCTTGAGCTCTGCAATAGTTCTCTGTGTACCGTCCAGCATCTCTTTATAGGTGTCTCTCTCTCGTCTGTACTTCGTCATGTGCTGGGTCAGGGTTGAGACTTCCTCTGTCATAGCCTTCAGCTTAGAGTCATACTTCATCTTAATCTTGGTCAGTTCAGTCTTGTATATCTTCTCCGTTGATGTGAGTCTGGAAGTATGAAGTATAGTAAACCTCTATTTAACGGACTATATGGAGAGAGGAAAAGTCCGTTATATTGAGGGTTTGTTAGATGTGAAACCTCTATTTAACGGACTATTTAGAGGAGAAAAGTCTGTTTTATTGAGGGTCTGTTAGATGTGAACCCTATATGGAGGTTTTTCACTGTGAATCGTTTCATGTTTGTACTGACGTAGATAAACAGTAAATTGAACCATAATGACAAAATAAACAATAATAACAAGACAACAAATAATGATGCCAAGACAATAATGAACATCAAAACATTTCTAGGAGAGTAAATCTACGTAACTATATAAAACTATACTGAATGGTTATAACCAGCAGTACTCACTATACAGTAGTACTGTATAGTGACTACTGCTCCATCTTGGTGTATAATATCTTAACAAAATAGTATAGCCTATATTCAGTCCAAAGAAAACTGTTCTTTAAGCTTTCAGGCCTAACTCAAATGTTTTCGTGTTGAGTGTTTCAAAAAATTACTAATGCCAATTTCTCGAGTTAATATAACGCTAATGTGAGACAATTTATGATAGAATGGTGATTGTTATGCTGATGGTGTTTGATAGTAAATTTACTTTGCTCTCAGCTCTCTGATGGTGTTGTCGTAGGAGGAGGTGTCGTTCGCGAGGGATGACGTCCTCTTCTCGTTCAGCTGTTGTAACTTCTCCAGATCTTCCACCTTACGCCGGAGATCTTCACTCTGTTGACCAAATACCTCACACTTATTATCTCGAGTCTCTCATTAGGGCACTAGAACTGACAAACCAACCCCCCCCCCCTCCCCTGTACACGACTCAATGTATATACAGTATGACCTAACCTAACTTAACCTAACCTAACCTAATCTTATCCCAGCCTTGTAGTACGTGTAATAAGAACATTCAAGGACTAACCTCTCGTCTGTAGTAAGACACCTGGTCCTTGAGACTGTCTTCGTCCCTCTTGAGTTGGTCGATCTGTTGGTTCTTGTCCTCAATGATGTCCTTAAGTCGCTTCTTCTCCGAGTATGACGCGGGATCGCTTGACGCTTTGTTGAGGCGATTTTCCAGTTCCCGAAGTTGATCCTGTGGTAATAAGTCCATGTTATTAGGATTTGCACGAGGCGGTGAAAGGTCTCCTTAAATCTTAAACCGCCATTAGTCGTATTCCGGGATTATTGGTTACTGATTGGTCAGCCTTCTCATGCGTGACACTTTAAGTAGAATATCAAAATAACAATTAATATTTTGGGGGGTTGCCTGAAAAGTTTCTGTAAAAAGACTAATGTTGTCAGTTAAGATTAGAGTGTTTTGTTTTACGCTTCCTTCGATATATTTCCAAGAAGAACTGTCATTTAACTTTTACATTAATCAATGGAATCCAATTTATATTTACATGCCTTAGTAACATTTAATTTTATCCATAGAGACCTTCCAGGTGTGCCCCTCACCGCGTTACACGATGGGACTCAGCACCAGGATATCCACCTTTTGCCTGTACACTCACCAACAAAAGTCCTGTCGCTTCACCAGACTCTTCCTGAGCCCAGAGAGTCAGAGACCAGTGAAACCGAAACAGGTCTCTGAATCTTTGGGTTTAAGATGATTCTACTCCTCCACTTACCTGCATATCGAGTTTCTCCTTAATCCAGGTGTCTTGTCTCAAGTTGTAGGTGTCCCTCAAGGTCCTGAGCTCCGTCTCGATGGTGCTGTGTTCCTTCTTGAGGCTGTTATAGTCTTGTTGGATGCCTTCATTGTTCATGGTGAACTGCGGAGTAAAAGTCTGATATAATCTATACAAGGCCTTAGATATACAACAAAGGGAACGTCAGCAAAGAAAATCAGCAAGGGGATGTCAGCAAGGGAAGGGAACGTCAGCTTAAACGGACGTTCCCTTAAGCATCTAACTTCCATATTACTTCTAGACAACTATTATGAGTGTAGTTATTGTGTGGAAATGACAGCTTGAGGCTATAAATTGTGTGTATAAAAATTGAAATATAGTCTTTATGTAGAGGAAGTAAATAAAGACCTAAAACTACAAAAATATTCTTCCAAATATCTGAGTCTAGAGTGCGTTAGATAATCCGAAGTAAGGCCTCGTCCTATGCACTGTTTCACCTTAAAGAAAATTAAAAGGATTTCTTGTATACATATTTCAACATTTACTTTAGATTAGTCATGTATGAAACTATTATTCTTGTATTAGGAAGGAGCCATGTGTTATACTTCATTAGAGACACAGGTTAGGTTAGGTTAGGTTAGGTTAGGTTAGGTTATGAAAGGCATATTTCTCGCTATCGTACCTGAGCTTTCTGAACAACAAAGTCTTCCTCCAGTAGATCATATTTGGTCTGTAACTCTTGTCTCTTCTTCGACTCCTGTCCCTTCACCTTCTCTAAATCTGAAATAGAAACCAAACCTCTGATAGGACGAGTGACTCAAATAACTATTGTCTTGATCCGCAGCTCCTCGTTAAACTAAGGCAGCTCTCCCATGTGTCGCCTCTCCTCCTGAACCATGAACCCCGAGATTCAGACTCGTGAACCCGAAGCAGTAGACACTGATGCATTATTCTATCCATAAATGTTTCGGGTTCACGAGTCTGATTCTCCGGGGTTCATGGTTGAGGAGGAGCGGCAACATGAATTTTATAGGGGCCCGTACATATATAAATATTTGTATCAATAAATTACTATATATCTTTGAGAGTAAAACTATCCTTACGTCAATCTTCAGAAAGAGTTATTTAAAAGGTTAATATGTAATATAATAAAAAAATTCTCATTTTTCTTTAGTTAAGCGCCAGGTTCCCAAAGCTCTACCAGACCTAACCTTTGTACTCTTTGTGAAGAGACTCCAACTCTTCCTTCACTTTCTTAAGCTCGGCATCAGCCTTAGCGTTATTCTTGAGGATTCCTGCCTCCTTCTCTAGTCGCTCCCGCCGCTTCTGCTCCGCCTGAGGGATAACACGACATCGTCAAATATCGCTCACAGTAACAAAAGAACAAACCAAACATATTTTGAAAGCAATCCTAAACCTCTTTACTGAAACCTTCTATTTTGAGGTACAGGGCTTATCATAGTAAGCTTTTAGAACGTGCAGAAGGGTACAGGGAATGTTGGGCACTATAACACAAACCTTGAGTTCACTTTCCAGAGTATTCATGCGGATGGTGAGGTCTTCGTTCTCCTTCCTGACAGCCTCCATATCCCGCTTTTGTTTGCTGCCAGACGTATCCTTCGCCTTTTCCATCTGCAGGAGAAAAATTACAGGAAGGTAATAACTTTAATATAACAACACACACACACACACACACACACACACACACACACACACACACACACACACAAAATCAGGTGTAAATAACATCGATGATTCATTCCCTTGACCCAGTTTCACCACAGGAGCGAACATTTTTTCCGTGATTGTAACATCAATCAATCAGAGAACCGTCCTTATATCTGAGGGTTGGCGACCACAGTCCTCCACTCTAAACGTTCCTGTGCTGTTGTTAACAATCCTCTAAGGTTTTGTATCTCTCTGGGGGCTACAGTTTATAATTTCATTCATCCATCCCAGTCTCTGCTTTCCCCTGGCCCTCCTACCCTCAACTTTGACCATTAATATTTCTGTTATTATTCTGTAACACAAAGTTTATAGGGTCCACAAAACAAGAGGACTGAGTTGTGGTGAGGGACAAGATGGTGGTCTACCTTAGTGATGGTGTCTTTAAGTTCTTCTACTTCTGACGCCAGTTCCTCCTTCTCCGTCTTGAGAGTGTTCAGTACCTCGTTGTCCTTCCTCTTGCCCAGCAGCACCTCGTCTCCTCGTCTCTTCTCGTCTTCCAGCTTCATTTCCTACAATTAACGAAGAATGATATGAAACTCTGCAGTGAAGTAAACGTAAACCTATATGAGAACTTTACAATGTTTCTCGGGCAAGTTTTTACAAGATTCACCTACTATTTTCACTTGTTGATATAGATATTGTATAGAAATAGAGAATAGAACATAAACACACGTAGTAGTTATTAGAGAAAGGTAGGACAGATTTTCTCATGCACATATTGTACTGAATTTCCATAATATTTACCTTTTTTTTTATTTGTAATTGAGTACCGAAAGTTTTGTTTATCTTATCACAACAATTTTGTTTCTTACTTCCATTATGATATCAGCGTAACCTAACCTAACCTAACCTAACCTAACCTAACCAGTCACCAACGCCATCAAGACAGACAAGCAACAAGAAATTCACACTTTTACATGAATAATAAACCTCCTCATAAAGAGCCAAGATATTGTTCATTTTCTATACATTTCATATAAACTTTTACATGTCTTTCACAGTTATAAAGTTCCTCCTTATGTCTTAGTTTATCTATAGTCAGTGATTTACCCAAACCTTCTTTAGCTTACAGAAGACCACTCAAGACTCTGTATAACGTGATTAAACACATGCTACCAGTCAGTCAGTCAGACCCCGCCATGGCCCCAGCTCCTCACCATACTATCACGAGCTTTCTTTGTAGTTCGTAGTTCACGCTCGGCTTTCTCTCTCAGTTTCTTGTTCTCAATAAGTTCCTGTTTGAGGCTGTCTCGTTCCTTAAACCAAGACGCTGTCAACTCCTTCTGCCGATCTTCAGCAACAGTCAAGTTATTCTTCTCCTCATCCAGCTGTTACGTTCCCACAGACATTAAGGAACGTTTCGTTGGGTGACATACAGCCCCATGTTTACGTCCAAGGAGCGTCCAGTAACACCAAGTAGCAGTCCAGATGGATGGATGGAGGAGAGAGAGAGAGAGAGAGAGCCATGCAGAGTTAAGAAACAGGAATATTTAGAAAAGGAATAAGAATGGAATATATTTGTTAAATCAACAGAATATTTATTACTATCCTTAATAAATATATTCAGTTGTGTATAAGACTTAAGGAATAATCTGAAGAGAGTTATACATAGACCAACATACAGTACACAGATGAGAAGATAAACATGAGTATACACACATATGTATACTTCACTTGTATTATTACGAAATCCACAAGTAAGCAATTCATTATACTCCATCATGCAAAAAAGTTAAAAGTTCTTCAGGATTACATAAACAAGAATTTTACTACGTTTTCAATTACTTTTTTTTAATTACATGAAAAATGAAAAATAAATAAAAGATTGTGTATTAAAGAAAGAAAATAAGTAATAATGTAAAGAAGTCAAATTACATCACTGTATTGTCCTTGTTCCGGGTACAGTGTAACCTCCATATAACGGACTTTTCTCCTGTCATAGTCCGTGAGATGGGGAGTTCACATTTAACGGACCCTCGATATAACGGACTCATATCTATATAGTTGGTTAGATGGAGGTTTCACATCTAAAGTTCCCTCGATATAACGTACTTTCCTCTCCATAGTCCGTTAAACAGAGGTATGTACAGTAAATAGCAGTAACTCACCTTCTATGTCAGCTTCTGTTGTCATGCGTTTATCTGCTTTTGTTTTACTCATGAAAGTAAAACTAATATTTGTTTCGAAGTTTTTGTTTGTATGTGTCATAAGTTATTTTGTTTGTCGTTATTTTGTTTGCTCGTGTCATGTTATTTTCTTGTTCGTGTCATAAATTACTTTGTTTGTATGTGTCATAAGTTATTTTGTTTGTTCGTGTCATAAATTATTTCACGATTGTTTTTATATTAAAAGCTATTATTGCACTTCACCAACTAAGGTCTTTAAGCTGTTATATTAGATCATGTAGTCGTGGGTGATAAAGAGTGACTCACTAACCTTGGACTCCAACTTGTCAACAGCATATTTGTTCTTCTTCTCTGTTCTCTCCGCCAGCTTGAGGTTCTCTTCTGTCTCCTTCAGTTTCTTCTCCAGGATGGTGGCGGTCTGCTGTGCCGTCGACAGCTGGGGAGGTAAACACTAATATTGGTCTAGTGTTGTGGTTAAGCCGTTTAGTTTTAGCTACAGCGCTACATAATGTTTGTTGTAGGGATTTATTTGTATTATTTAAAGGTTAATTTCTACAGCTGTGGGACTCTTGTATTCCTATATGTAATTTAGCTAAATTATGTATTATAATTAATTGTTGTTATATTAATTACACTTAACTTCACTGTTCGACTTATATTCTCATTTGAATTTATTGTTTTTAATGTCATCTGAATATATTTAATTTGATAGTTTGCCTTTTTCATATTAATACAAACTTGTGTTACTTTTATCTGGAAAATAATGTTTATTTTTCAACACTCATTTGGAAAGTATAAAAGTATGACGTGTACAGTACTGTATGTCAGGTCGTGTTTACCTCTTTCTGAAGTTTGTGTTTCTCAGTTTGTGCTGAGCGAAGTTCCTCAAACCCAACCTGAGATCCTTCCCCCATCTTGGCCTTCAGTTCCTCGCTTCTCTCCTTCTCTTGGCTCAGCTCCTTCTTCAGGGAGGTTATCCGCTCCTCGTACCGTCGGAGGTCGTCCTCGCGGCCTCCAGACCATCCTGTGGACCAGTAGGATGATGGGCTATTATTATCATTATTATTATTATTAGTAGTAGTAGTAGTAGTAGTAGTAGTAGTAGTAGTAGTAGTTGATCCGGACCAACTTACAGTAATTTATGTCACTCTTGCACTGTACTGTTGGTCTAAATCATACAAGATCAGGCAGGTCATTTTTATTTTTTCCAGTATTGTGGTATTTCAACTTTTCATTACACACACACACACACACACACACACACACACACACACACACACACACACACACACACACACACACACACACACACACACACACACACACACACACACACACACACACACACACACAGACACACACACACACACACAGTCTGTCAGTCTGTATACTCATCATCCAATAAGTCTCGTGTGTATGTCTGTTGGTCTTCACAGGTTAGGTTAAGGCAGGTCAGGTCAGGTCAGGTTAGGTTAGATTAGAACAGGTCATGTCAGGTTACGTTAGATTAGAACAGATCATGTCAGGTTTAGATTAGAACAGATCATGTCATAGATTAGAACAGGTCAGGTTAGGTTAGGTTAGATTAGAACAGGTCAGGTCAGGTTGGGTTAGATTAGAACAGGTCATGTCAGGTTAAGTTAGATTAGAACAGGTCATGTCAGGTCACGTTAGGTTAGATTAGAACAAGTCATGTCAGGTTAGGTTAGATTAGAACAGGTCATGTCAGGTCACGTTAGGTTAGACTTGGTTAGGTTAGGTTAGGTCTACTGAAGACTCACGTTTATTGGCTAAAGGTTTATCCAGCTTCTCACGTTCTTCCTTCAGTTGTCGAGAAAGTTCTTCAGTTCGCTCCTTCTCACGCCCCAACTTGTCCTCCAAGTCACGTATGTTTGTCAGGTCCTCTGAGCTCGGCCGACCCTTCTTTTTCTTCTCCGCCTCCTTCAGCGACACGTGTAGGCTTGCTGTAGGTTCAGGCGGTGGGGGCAGGGAGAGGGGGGAGAGGAGGGAGGGTAGGAGGGAGGGAGGAGAGACAGGTAACAAGGGTAGGTAATAGCGATACATCACAGGAACAGGATGGTTAAGTTATACGAGATTTGTTTTGGGATAAAACAAATAATGTCACGACAAGATTAACAGACAAGTTAGGTTATGTTATGTTAGGTTACAGGAAGTATTCAGTGGTTGAGGATGAGATATTTTAATTAGTAACAGTGAATATAGAGTAAGTTTTATTAATACATGGGAGACGAGGATTGACCATAGGATCAACATGAGACACGAGAGTAAAAGTGAGAGAAAAAATAAACAACAATAATAACAGGACAAAGAAGAGGACAGTAAACACGAGGCAGAGGATTGAGGCGTGGCAGAGAGAGGAACAGAAACTCCATCAAAACAATGTTGATTCATCAGGAATATATACAAATTATTTTCCGAAAGATCATTTATTGAAGAATATCTTGTGAACAGTCAAACCTGAATGAATGGTTAAATATATAAATGATAAATGAATAGAAATTAAATAAATAACAATTCTTCATGACAATATTGACATTAAATATCAATGTATTAATACAATTCTCAATAAAATATAAGTTTGTTTGTTTCTATTATCACAATAACATTATCCACACTTGTTGATGTGTTAGGTTAGGTTAGATTAGGTTAGGTTAGGTCCCACAGGTAAGGTCACTGCTCCTGTGGTAATAAAAACATTCAAGTGATCACGACTAGCATCTGTAAGGCAGTTTGTGTATATTTACATTATGTGATCGTCGAGTGTTTTGGCCAAGTTAAAGATGAAAAATGTTAGATAACTTAACCTAGTATGTTAACTCGAGGGTCCTTGTGATGGTCTCTGTCCAGCTCTCAACACCTGTAGTCCTCTCTCATTACTGTGAAGGCTGACCAAGTTACCTGTATACAGTATTATGGTCCTACCTGTCTTAATTAATGTATTATGTAACTTATTGCCTCTTTATTTCTCTTTTATTTATGTAATGCACCTAAGTATATATGTGTGTCTTGAATATTCGTCTGTCTGTCTCTCTTATATTTATGCTCAGATATATATTATGTTGGTGTAGGATAACGTGAGTGTAGTTTTATTTATGTATTCTGCCTAAGTATATATGCGTCTTGGATACTTGTCTAACTGTCTGTCTGTCTTTAACCATAATGCTTGGTTATATAGGTTGACGTCAGTGGTCGTTGTGTTGACAGAAGGACGACGGAACAGATCAACATTAGTGGGACCATCAGCTGGATCACCACCAGGGCGCTGACACAGTACAGTACTTGGCGTTATCACCAACACCAGAACCGTCACCTCTCTCTGGGCTGACCACGGGGGTTAGTTATACACACCCTTTGTGGCCTCTAGTCTGGAATCCTTTTTGCACAACCGCTCACAGGAAGGGTATGGGAAAAACTAGCCGCTGTACTTCTCTGGGACAACTGTACTGCACTATACTGTACATTATAAACTCTGGTTCATATTGTTAAACTTTAATCGTCAAGGGACTAGTCCAATCCACGTGGCCAGAATTTCCCTCAAATAGAGATTTTTTTCTCACTTTGGTATTATTAGTAAACAGAAATATATATAAAGGTGCACTCGTTAACAAAGGTCCTGTTACCTCACCTGTGTCTTCATGAGGGAAGGAGGAGGGTGAAGGTAGGGAAGGAGGAGGGAAGGGAAGGAGGAGGGAAGGGAAGGAGGAGGGAGGAAGGAGGGTGAGTGTACGTTGAAGGTGATGTTGTGGACGATGGTAAACTTTAACAATATGAACCTAAAAAGATCAAGAAACTTAAGTTCAATACCCTTACAGTATGATAATATTGACGTGATGTTACAAGGAATCAAACCATGGGACAAAACACAAACTATTAGAGGGGAACTTTCTCTACTTTCTCTACTATTTCTATCTCTACTTTCTCTATTATATCTACTTTCTCTACCTTCTGTACTTCCCTCTTTTCTCTACTTTCTCTACTATGTGTTAGAGGCCAAAACAAAAGTTGATCACAGCAGCTTCTCACGTTTATTATTAGGAGTCCAATTATCCAAACACTCTTAACAGACACAGACAGTCAAGATGTACCAATTATACTCGTGTTACCAGAGTCATCACCAGTTAGTTTAATACTGGTGGTAATTTGGGGGTGGAGGGGGTGCTGGTGGGGTGAGGGGGAGCTGAGACCTAGTAGGGGGACGCTGGTGGGGTGAGGGGGAGCTGAGACCTAGTAGGGGGACGCTGGTGGGGTGAGGGGGACGCTGGCTGAGACCTAGTAGGGGGACGCTGGTGGCTAGGTGAGGGGAGCTGAGACTAGGGGACGGTGGGTGAGGGGGAGCTGAGACCTAGTAGGGGGACGCTGGGGGGTGATGGGGGCTGGACCTGGTGGGGTGAGGGGAGCTGAGACCTAGTAGGGGGGTGAGGGGGTAGAGGAGCTGAGACCTAGTAGGGGGACGCTGGGGTGATGGGGGCTGGAGACTCAGTAGGGGGGACGCTGGTGGGGTGAGGGGGAGCTGAGACCTAGTAGGGGGACGCTGGGGGGTGATGGGGAGCTGAGACCTAGTAGGGGACGCTGGGAGGGGGGGAGCTGAGACCAGTAGGGAGTGAGGGGAGCTGAGACTCCAGTAGGGGGCGCTGGTGGGGTGAGGGGAGCTGAGACCTAGTAGGGGACGCTGGGGGTGATGTGGGGGGAGCTGAGACCTTAGGGGGACGCTGGTGGGGTGAGGGGAGCTGAGACCTAGGGGACTGTGGGTGAGGAGAGCTGAGACCTAGTAGGGGACGCTGGTGGGCGCTGAGACCTAGTAGGGGACGGGGGTGAGGGGAGGCTGAGACCTAGTAGGGGACGCTGGTGGGGTGAGGGAGAGCTGAGATCAGTAGGGACGCTGGTGGGGTGAGGGGGAGCTGAGACCTAGTAGGGGGACGCTGGTGGGGTGAGGGGGAGCTGAGACCTAGTAGGGGGACGCTGGTGGGGTGAGGGGGACGCTGGGGGGTGATGGGGGACCTATGGGGGAACGCTGAGGGGTGATGGAGGAAGATTAGATCCAGTACAAAGGCCAATGTTGATACAGGACAACCAAATTTTCCAGCCGATCAGAGACTGTTCTTGAGTCTTCACTGTTGTTTCGTGTTTATACAATATCTGACACACTTATACACTTAATCGTCTACAGTTCTGATGGGAGAGTTTCTTGATTGGGGGGAGAAGAGGGACGTAATACCGCTTCATGCTGTGTGTCTGTGTGCGACCAACTTTTGAGGACCCGAGCACAGTGATCAAACAACAGCATCTACACATTGATCTTGGACTTCAACACAGTATATACGTCTCTACCAAAGCTTCATCAGGAGGTAACTATATAGTCTTCCATCACAACACTTACCGCAAACTTTATTTAAATCATTTATCATTTTTATAAGGACAGATTTAGGGGTGAAATCTAGCGGCTGTTTAAACTTCCATTCATCTGAGGTGATAATGTCATTCATCTTGGCTTCTGTCTCTTTATGGCTCTTAAGCTTCTCCTGTAAAGCATTTATCTCTTCTTCAAGCTCGCGTACTGTTTGCTTCAGCTGCCTCGCCTCACTGCCCTTATAATCCAGTTTGTTTTTAAGGCCGGAGTTCTCCACCACGAGGGCCTCTCTCTCAGTGAACAGCATGTGACACATCTCCCCATCTAGAGCTTTGTTAGCATCTCTTTTACCACAACTCATCTCGTCTAAGACTTGTTTCTCTGTTTCCATGAATTTTAGTTTGACATTAAGCTTGGCTGTTGATGAATAAGACACCTTCGTTAGAGGATGAATGAATACTGTGTGGGTAAGTGAAGGTGGGGGGCATTTAGCTAGTGCTCATGCAAGGTTAAGTTAGCTTAGGTTAGGTTAAGTGTAATAATAAGACTCAATAGACTAACCTAACCTAACTTAACCGAGCACTCCATTAGTGGGATAAACTCAGGCTTATAGTAGAAGTATTAATAATAATAATAATAATAATGCTAACACTATTATTATTATTACTCAACCTGAATTATTATCAAGTTCATTCTGTAGGAATCATAACCGCAGGTGTAATTATAAAGTAAAAATCAATAAAACTGTAACATAATGAAAAATGCACAATGTAAAATAAAGATGAAATAATCATTTAGTCAGAACTGAAAATACGGGATGTATCCCGGCCATGCTAAGGGACCCCAGCACCAGTCCTCCTCGGGTGGGGGTAACATCAGTGCCACTTACCACATTCTGTCTCTAGTTCATTCACCCATTTTATCAAGGTCGCCTTTGGTGTAAAGTCTTTTGGTATCTTAGGAGTTCTGTCTTTATAAGCGGAGGATTTCTTCATGTCTTCGCTGTCCTTGAAGATCTTGTCATATTTTCCTTGTAAATCGTTGAGTTTCTTTTTCAAGTCACTAATCTCATCGCCTTTTTCCGTCACTGCACTCTGTAGATGATCTTTTTCCTGTTTTAACTGTAACATTTCTGAGCTACTGGACGCTGTGTTCTTACCCTCAGCCTCGCTTCCTGACGCAGCCACGGCAGCGTTCACCTGCGCCGTCTTGAGCTTCTCGTTGGCATCCTTCAACTTCTTCTCTAAGCGACGCACCTTATCCTCCATCACCTGTAGGTATATCAACCAATCACATAACTTATTAAGCATACTCTTCACCCACCCACCCACCTACCCACACATCCACCCACACACCCACCCACCCACACCCACACACACACCCACCCACCTGTCTCTCAATGTAGCTGCTCTCAGTACCAGACAGAGGGAGGCGCTTCACTACCCTCAGCTGCAGTTTCTTGTTTTCATCACACAGTCGCTCGTTCTCACCCTCCACGGTCTGTATCTTCGACCTTAGTATCTCCGTCTCCTTCTCCAGCTTCTTTAGGTCTAACCCCATATCAACCTTTCAGTGGTGTCAGGAAAAGATAGAATTGTGGTCATCAAGTCTTCAGAAAATATTAAACAACAATACATTTTTTCAGGGGAAGAATAAATACTCATAAATTTAACTTAAAATATATGAGATTCGTCAACCAAGTATGAAAAACTAAATGATTATGAAATTTATATTAAAACTTTAATATTTTAATAAGGATAAATACTCACAAATTTAGCTGAAAAGACGTTAGAATCGTACTCCCCAAAACTCTGTGTTATTACAGTACAGTAGACACAGCCTCATACAAGACCTACAGAACAAGGCATCGCCCAGACACCTTTGTAAATTAGTCTACGTCTATACCTTGTTGGTCTTGGTGTCTGTAGGGGAGAGCATCCCCTTGATCTCCTTCTGTAGTCGCTCGTTCTCAGACTCCAGACCCTCGATCTTCCTCCTCAGTACAGATGATTCTTGTTCATTTAACTCAAGCTGGAGCTGCGGGTCACAACTATATGTTATACTCAAGCAACATGAGATAATAAATTCATAAATAACAACTTGTGAGAGCTTTAATCATGTAACCTAACCTAACCTAACCAAACCAAGCCATATAAACATGGATTCATAACGACTCCTAACCCAGCCTCTAAACTAACCTAACACACTCTAGAAAATACACGCACCTCTCCATCTATCTGCATAGAGAGAGAGAGAGAGAGAGAGAGAGAGAGAGAGAGAGAGAGAGAGAGAGAGAGAGACTCTAGTTTATCAACCTTTAGTTCAGTAGGATCCAGGTCCTCGGTGATGCCTTCGTCAGGTTCCTTGGCTGGAGGCTTCTCGGTGGAGCCTTGACGACTCAGTGATCCTCGCTCCACTGAACTAGATCTCTCCAGAGACCCTGAACGCTCTATAGATCTCTGCCTGTTCGCCTTGGCCTTGTTACTCATCTTCTTGAGTTGGAGGGCCAGTGTCTCGTTCTCCTCCTCGACTCGAGATATTTTCTTCCGTAAGTTTTTAGTCTGACGGAGAGAAGAAAATATTATAGACAGAATTATGAACTAAATAACGAATTACAGATAACATTATTACACGTCTCTGACTGTGTGTGGTGAATCACTAACTATTGGTAAACAGAAACGTCTATGTCTTGGCTCACACCACACAAGACAACAACGACTAACAGGACCTTTGTGTTTTCTCGTTAATCTGAATTTGTTCCTTTTAATCTTTCCTATCAACTCCTCACCCGTCTTGTGATACCGCTTAACGTCCCCCCCGTCTCCTCCTCACCTCCTCCTCAACCTCACCTCCACTTCAACCTCACCTCCCCCTCCTCCTCCTCACCTCCCCCTCCTCCTCCTCCTCTCCTCATTCTCTTCCCTTCACCTCATTCTACCCTCCTTCTCCTCTCCTCCTCCTTCTCACCTCCTCCTCCTCACCCTCCACCTCCTCCTCTCCCCCATTCTCTTCCTTCACCTCATTCTTACCTCCTTCTCCTCTCCTCCTCCTTCTCCTCCTCACCCCTCCTCTCCTCCTCCCTCTCCTCATTCTCTTCCTTCACCTCATTCTTACCTCCTTCTCCTCCTCTCCTCCCTCTCCTCCTCCTCCTCACCTCCCTCCTCCTCCTCACCCCTCCTTCTCCTTCTACCTCCACTCCTCTCTCTCCTCCTCCTTCTCCTCCTCACCCTCCTTCCCTTTCTTACCTCCACCTCCACCTCCTCCTCCTCCTCCTCACCCCATTCTCTTCCTCCACCTCCTTCTCCTCTCCTCCTCCTTCTCCTCCTCACCCTCCTTCCCCTTCTTACCTCCACCTCCTGCTCACCTCCTCCTCGGCGAATTTAAGTTGATCCTTGAGGTCCTGCTCCCTCTCGCCAGCGTCCTGTAGGTCCCTCATCAGCTGGTCGGTGTTGTCTTGGCTGCCCTGACGACCCATCATCTGTGACCGCTGCCGCCAACACCAAACACATTAATATCTGTGTCTCTCTCCTTCCTCTCTTTCCCTCTCTCCTACATCAAGCAACCCTCCTCCTCTCTCTCTCCCTCTCTCTTTTCCATATCATGATTACCCTAAAAACAGTGGTAGACGATGTTTTAATCAGGGTAATCATTTATGGACACCCTGTATTATTTTAGGGAGAAATATATCATCTAGTTTAATGGGCCTTTATTCCAGGCTATAATATTTCATTCTAATTTATATAGACTTTATTGAATACATAAAATAAGGTTGTATATCTTAATGGCCGTAAAGTAACTGCCTCATTAATAGTTCTCTCGGTTCTAATTAATACTGTATCTCCTCAGTCGTCTTATGGAAGGACAATATAAAAAAAACACCATTGATAAATTAGTGTTATGAGAGGTTTTCCTAATGGTTCTCAGTTTGTCATTCAAGATTGATATTATTCGTCAAGTAATGATCTATATGATCTTCAGAGTATCGCTGACATTTGTTAAGGGACTGTCAGCTTAAGGGAACTCAGCTTAATTAAAGGAACGTCAGCTTATTTAAGGGAACGTCATCTTAAGGGGACGTCAGCCTAAGGGAACGTCAGCTTAAGAGAACATCAGCTTAAGGGAACGTCAGTTTAACCTGACGTTCCTTTAAACTTACGTTCCCTTCCCTTGCTGACATTCCCTAGCTGATTTTCCTTGCTAACGTTTCCTTAATATTCTCGGGGTCGTTAAGTAATATACTGTCCACATATCTCCATAACTTACACTGTATTTACCACCCGGTCTGACTGGCTTGTCGAGGACTTTCTCACTCAGTTTCTTCTTGTCTTGTTCAGCAGACTCGAGCTGTGACTTCATCTTCTCCATCTCGTCGTGCATCTTCATGGAGACCTGTGTGTGTGTTAGAGTACAGACGTGATGCATCAACTAAACTATTGCTGTATCTTCACAAAGGGTTAAATCATCGTTCATAAAGAGTTACGTCATCGTCCTCAATGGGTTAAGTTATCGTCCTCAAAGGGTTAAGTCATCGTCCTCAAAGGGTTAAGTCATCGTCCTCAAAGGGTTAATTTATCGTTTCCAAGGGGTTAAGTCATCGTCCTCAAGGGGTTAAGTCATCGTCCTCAAGGGGTTAAGTCATCGTCCTCAAAGGGTTAAGCACAGGGAGTGACTAGTCGCTCTCATAACAGTGACCAAGCATGACGTCACTCACATCCTTGGCCAGGTTGACCTCCTTCTCCAACATCTTGATCTTCTCTGCTCTCTCTACGTCACCCTCACCCACCTGTAGCTCTTTCAGTTTGTCCTCTATCTCGCCCTTATCTCGCTCCAGCTGTGACGTAAGAGTCTTTATTAGCATACAACGTCTGTGTTATAAATAAGAGGTTGTTAGAAAGTTATAATATCTATATTTATACATTACAGTTGAGGTTTGTTTGAGGTTATTAATATGGCCAATGGTGACTTAACTAACACGTATATAATTCCAGGAACAGGTCTTAAATATCTATATCGTCGATAATTGTACTCAATTTTATGCAGGAATTATAATTTTTTTTGTAGTGAAGATGGTATATTTTGGTAATGTTCTAGTAATTACTTCTAAACCCAAGATATTTTTATAATTAATGAAATAAAATATCAAATTTATATACACACACAACACAACACACATATACCAGACAAAATCATTAATAAATACTAATGCCTTTTCTTCATAATACAATAAAAGTGATGAGGTAACACTCAAGAGCCTCGGCAGGAAGGTCGCCTTACGTGATCAGATCGTCTCTCAGCTTTCTTTAGTTTAAACTGAAGGACGCGACAGTTCTTGGCCGTTTGTTCCAACTCCCGCTTCAGGTCTCGGTACTCGTCAGCTTGTTCCTCCCTGAAGTTGTCTTGCATCTCCTCGATCTCGTCCTCCAGAGCTCGGATCTCTTTCTTGTAATCCTCATTCTCGTCCATGAGTTCTTCACACAGTTGTTCCGCCGCTTGTAGCTTGGATCTGAGGTCCTGTGGTAGAGAAGGAGGAGAGGAATCGTTGTCACTCATAATAACATACCGGGGGACTGAAGGTAAACTATATAGTCAAGTACACATGTGACCCAGGTTCAGTTTGTCTACAGGTAGGGGGCAGGGACCACGACTAGGGTAGGGGGCAGGGACCACGACGGTACTCGTCAGCTTGTTCCTCCCTGAAGTTGTCTTGCATCTCCTCGATCTCGTCCTCCAGAGCTCGGATCTCTTTCTTGTAATCCTCATTCTCGTCCATGAGTTCTTCACACAGTTGTTCCGCCGCTTGTAGCTTGGATCTGAGGTCCTGTGGTAGAGAAGGAGGAGAGGAATGTTGTCACCAAGGCACAATATACCGGGGACTGAATAAACTATATATAGGCCAAGGCACATGACCCAGGTTCAGTTTGTCTACAGGCAGGGGGCAGGGACCATTGACCAGGTAGGGGGCAGGGACCACCACTAGGTAGGGGGCAGGGACCACTACCAGGTAGGGGCAGGACCACACTAGGTAGGGACCATGACTGGGGTGTAGGGCAGGACCACTACTAGGGCAGGGGGCAGGACCACGTGACTAGGTAGGCAGGGACCACGACCAGGGCAGGGGCAGGGACCACGACTCAGGTAGGGGGACCACTACTAGGTAGGGGGCAGGACCACGACTAGGCAGGGGGCAGGACCACTACTAGGTAGGGGCAGGACCACCACTAGGAGGGGGCAGGACCACGATCAGGTAGGGGGCAGACCATGACCAGGTAGGGGCAGGGACCACGACTAGGGTAGGGGGCAGGGACCACGACTAGGGTAGGGGGCAGGGACCACGACTAGGGTAGGGGGCAGGGACCACTACTAGGGACAAGGGCCATGACGCACCTCCATGGTCTTCTCGACGTCCTTGGGCAGCGGTCTCTTGTCAATCTCCTTCTTGAGATCCTTAATTTCCTTGTTCTTGGTTTTCATGTCATCGTTTAGATCATCAAACTGCAATGTTGTTATATAGTTTGGTTATATAGTGTGTGTGTGTGTGTGTGTGTGTGTATCCCTTGCATTACAGTGTTTTACTACAACTTAACATCAATCAAACTTAATATTTCAAATCTTGTTGCCAAAAAATCAATGTAGTAAGTACAATTAACGTCTTGGTTATAAATTAAAATTCATTAACAATTATCCCTATTTAGCATATAAAAGCTTTCACATATAACACACTCACATACTGTATAACACACTCACATATAACACACTCACATATAACACACATATACAATATAAATGTTTGTTGTGTCCGTATCTAACCGACTGCCATAAAGAGCACAGCGGCCACTTACTGTGAACACTTTACTCTGGGCTCACTTACTACCTGATACACCTAAACAAGTGTCACCAGGGTCTGAATGGCCCACCTTAAAGACGATTATTTTTTGTTTTTGTATTTTTACGTTAATATTTCAGTTACTAATGTTCCTTATTACTTACCTTGTGTTCCGTGTTGATAATAGTTCAGTTACTGTTACGTACCTTCTGTTGCATCTTGGTCAACTCGGCTTGCTTCCTCACGTCACCAAACTTGGGTTTCTTGGTCAACAATTCCTTATTCTCTCTCTCTAACGTCTCAGTTCTCTCTGCCATCTCTTCAACTTGTTTAATCTTCTCCTTGAGCTCCTTCTGCAGCCGATCAACTTCAGACTGGAGATCAATCTCAACTCTCTTTGGTTCTTTCTTCGGTTTAGAGAGTTGGATGACGTAGGTGGCGTCGGCCGAGTCATCCTCGCTCTTCACCTCCTGCAAGTGTTGACACAATGAGGGAGGTTTGTGGTAATTACTGTCATGTCCCCAGTGTGTAACTTTGTAGGGCACTGCGTTTAACCTTCGGGATTTGATGCTACTGATTAGGTATTGAATTTATCAACCAAAACAGGTCCAGTAATGAGGATTAGTTAGTGATTAATGGTTACTGAGTTATCATAGTTTGTGAATTATTATATTGCAGAATTAAAACATTTTTAATTCTAATAAAACCAAAAGGATATTATTTGGAAGAATTATTTATAGAGAATTGAGGAAACAAAACGTATAAGATTATGAAGAAATGAAGTAACGTAAAAGTTAATTATAGTTAAATTATACACAAGTTCAGTGCCATCATCATCTACCTTCTGATAAAATATGACTATCAACGTATAATAAAAACTCAAGAACAATTTTTAATCCACTAATACCAAGAAAAAAATATTGCAAAAAACTATTCATTAAAAAAATCAAATTCTCATTGAATATTCCAGATCTATTTACATATAGCTGGAGTATATATCGATGTTTAACTAACTGGATATAAAACTGGATATAAAACTGGATATAAAAACAACAGTAAAACCGAATCCATAAAAAGCCAGGAAGGATTATTATAATATCATCATCAACAAGACTAATTTTACCCAACGGCATCCAGACACGACACAAGGGAGGAGAAAGAGAAGCTGTTTGTGTGTACAGTATATATTTATAAAACACTTACGGCAAAGAGTCAAAAAAATCTTAGGGTTAAATTTACGATATTTTATGGACTATACCGCCTCCAAACAGCGTATATAGTGATTAATATGTACAACACACCCGCCAATAATGTCCTGTTAATACTCTCTGCTCTACATGAACCCTGAGACCTCATGAAGCGGTGAATCGTGAACCGGTGAATCATGAACCTGTGAATCATGAACCTGTGAATCATAAACCAGTGAATCGTGAACCTGTGAATCATGAACCAGTGAATCGTGAACTGGTGAATCATGAACCTGTGAATCATAACCCAGTGAATCGTGAACTGGTGAATCATGAACCGGTGAGTCATGAGCATGTGAATCCGAGACATTCCACAGTGTTGGGTTCATAGATGATGCACTGTGTGAGTCTCGGATTCACAAGGTTCATGAGGCCTCGGGGTTCATGATTCACAGGTTCATGAGTCTCACGGTTCATGAGTCTCACGGTTCATGAGTCTCAGGGTTCATGGATGAGAAAAATTGACAGGACTCATATGTGTACAATACTTTACAAGACGCTGTCGATATACCTAATGTGTGAGGTACTTATAAAAACTGTATTGTAGTTATTGAACGAGGTTTATAACATTGTATTATTTAAAGTGTAATTATTATGACTTAAAACGACACTTTATCTAATTATCTAATATACGTTTCGAACATTGAACATGGTGTGAGAGAGAGAGAGAGAGAGAGAGACCCTTACATGATACACAGAGCAGAGCAGAGCACAGTACAGTATCACAGACCAAACACTGTCACCACACACCCCGATAACACTCTACTGTACTTACTGTACTCGCCCCGTTACCATCGCCCTGGTAAATAAACATGACATCAGAGACGGAACAAAATAAATAACATATCTGTATAAAAAACAAAAGTTCAGTTGAGTTGGTAAGAAACACCATTTAATGATTAGCAAATATACATGACCTAACCTAACCTAACCTAACCTAGCCTAACCTAATCACATAGTAAGGAATTAATCCAAACCCTTAAAACCAATATGAAGGAACAGATGGTGTGTGTGTGTGTGTTTGTGTACGTGATGCTATGCTATTTAACCTTGTATTCAGGTTCACATTGTCTTGGATATCTGGTATAGCAGTTTACTCTACACTGTACATCAACTTACAGCACTACATTATAACCTAACCTAACCTAACCTAACCTAACCTTCATGTATATTAGCTAATCATTATATACATATCTCTTCATACCGTAAAATCCTCTCCATCAAAAAAATTTAGTAAAATTATATATAAAGGCAGAAAAAAAAGTTACATGAAAATTAAAAAAAAAAAAACTGGTAATGATAATAAATAAATTACTATAATGTTGAGAAGCAGTGATGGACAACTCACCCTCAGACTGATGATACTCTTCCTGGGGTTGTCCGCGGGCGTCAGCGTTTCCTTAATCTCACCAAGTTTTATGGTCGGTTTTAGTCTTGAGGGAGGCTTAGGGGGTTTAGCCTCTGTTATGGACGGCAGCGGAGAAGAAATCTTAAGACTCTTGCTCTCGATTATTGGCGTTAGTGAGGCTCTGGAGGATTTAGTCTCAGGTACGGAAGGTAAGGTAGACGGCTTCGAAGTCTTGGATTCGGTCGATATTTTCGTCGTTTTGGGTTCGTCTTCCACTATAGGTTTTGCGGTCTCTTCCTCGTCCCTTCTCGCGGAGGACGAGGTAGAAGAAGTTCCTTGTAGGGAAGATGTCCTGGAGAGCGGAGGCCTGGCTGGGGACTTGGTACGCATGGCTAAGTAAGAGGAGAAGGAGGAGTAACCTGACACGTCGTCTTTGTCTTTACTCGATGATGATAAGTCATTCGAGCTGCCCCGGAGGTCGCCAAGACTGCCGACATCCTGCGACAAAGACCTGCTGCTACCATACAGGCGGTGCAAGTCTGGGGGGGGGGGAGAGAGAATAACATTAACCTTTGGATGATGCAGATACACCACCATATACAAAGAAACATAAAACTCAATTGGAATTAAGGTTTATATGGTACATTCAACAACGGTGAGGAATTTTAAAGCTTATGAAAGATATGAATTATTGTTGTGTCCGTTTTCTAACCGACTGTCATAAAGAGCACAGCGGCCACTTACTGTGAACACTTTACTCTGGGCTCACTTACTACCTGACACACCTATATTACAGGTGTCGCCAGGGTCTGATAGGCCCACACATATATTTATATTTAACCCTTTCAGTCCCGTCGGGTTAAACCATCGTCCTCAAAGGGTTAATAAACTGTATCTGTATGCCAAGTAAAATAATGTAGTTCTTCAGCTTAATATTTTACCATATTTATGATAAATAATGTACAAATGCTATATTGAACGTAGGAGTAACTTGGGCAATATTGACTGTACTGTACTGTACTGTACTGTATTATACTGTACTGTACTGAACTGTACTGTACTATACTGAACTGTACTGTACTGTACTGTATTATACAGTACTGAACTGTACTATACTATGCTGAACTGTACTGTACTGTACTATACCGTATTATACTGTACTGTACTGTACTGCACTGTACTGTACTGTACTGTACTGTACTGTACTGTACTGTACTGTACTGTATTATACTGTATTGTACTGTATTGTACTGTATTATACTGTACTGTACTGTATTATACTGTACTGTACTGTACTGTATTATACTGTACTGTACTGTACTGTACTGTACTGTATTATACTGAACTGTACTGTACTGTATTATGCTGTACTTTACTGAACTGTACTGTACTATACTATACTGTACTGTACTGTACTATACCGTATTATACTATACTGTACTGTACTGTACTATACCGTATTATACTATACTGTACTGTACTGTACTGTATTATACTGTACTGTACTGTACTGTACTGCTTTATACTGTACTGTACTGTACTGCTTTATACTGTACTGTACTGTATTATACTGTACTATACCGTATTATACTATACTGTACTGTACTGTACTGTACTATATTATACTGTACTGTACTGTACTGTACTGTTCTATACTGTACTGTACTATACCGTATTATACTATACTGTATTATACTGCACTGTACTGTATTATACTGTACTGTACTGAACTGTACTGTACTATACTGAACTGTACTGTACTGTACTATACCGTATTATACTATACCGTATTATACTATACTGTATTATACTGTACCTTCTCTTGATGAGCGGATCTGTTCCTTGGCCTCGTCAACAGCAGCTCTCAGGTCCTGGGCTGACCATGACACAGGCCGGGACTTGTTCCATGACTTGTTGGAGTTGCTGTAAATAAACATTAATTAGGTTGGTCAAACACACATACCTGTCCGTTTAACAGGGGAGAGTTTATTATGGATCCAGGGAAGTGCAGGAGTAACAACACTGATCTTAGTAATGTGACAGTAAGTATAAGCTACAGGGAGAAACATAATTGAGTATTGTATCAAATAATTTTTTTTCAATAGCAATATCTTGATCCCTTCTGAGGAAGAAAGATGTTGATACTGTTGAAGGTTTGGGTAAAGCCAGTGACTGCCACGTGTTGTTTGGGTAAAGCCAGTGACTGCCACGTGTTGTTTGGGTAAAGCCAGTGACTGCCACGTGTTGTTTGGGTAAAGCCAGTGACTGCCACGTGCTGTTTGGGTAAAGCCAGTGACTGCCACGTGTTGTTTGGGTAAAGCCAGTCACTGCCACGTGCTGTTTGGGTAAAGCCAGTCACTGCCACGTGTTGTTTGGGTAAAGCCAGTGACTGCCACGTGTTGTTTGGGTAAAGCCAGTCACTGCCACGTGCTGTTTGGGTAAAGCCAGTCACTGCCACGTGTTGTTTGGGTAAAGCCAGTGACTGCCACGGTGTTGTTTGGGGAGAGCCAGTGACTGACTGCCACGTGTTGTTTGGGTAAAGCCAGTCACTGCCACGTGTTGTTTGAGGAGAGCCAGTGACTGACTGCCACGTGTTGTTTGGGTAAAGCCAGTCACTGCCACGTGTTGTTTGAGGAGAGCCAGTGACTGACTGCCACGTGTTGTTTGGGTAAAGCCAGTCACTGCCACGTGTTGTTTGGGGAGAGCCAGTGACTGACTGCCACGTGCTGTTTGGGTAAAGCCAGTCACTGCCACGTGTTAGAACATAAGAACATAAGAAAATAAGGAGTCTGCAATAGGCCGGTTGGCCTGTGCATGGCAGCTCCTGTCGAGAGTTACTACCACTCTCTATCATCCATGAATCTATCTAGCCTCCTTTTGAAACTTTCCAGAGTTCCCGCACTTACTACAAAGTTGCTAAGCTTGTTCCACTCGTCCACCACCCTATTTGTGAACCAGTGTCTTCCTATCTCCCTCCTAAACCTAAACTTATCCAACTTGAATCCGTTGCTCCGAGTCCTATCCTGCTCGGATATTATAAGAACTTTATCTATATCCCCTTTATTGATTCCTTTCACCCACTTAAATACTGCTATCATATCTCCCCGCACTCTTCGTCTTTCTAGGGAATGCAAGTTAAGTTTTTTTAACCTATCCTGATATGGAAGGTTTCTAAGTCCCGGAATCATTTTTGTCATTCTTCGCTGCACCGACTCCAGTGAATTGATATCCGTTCTATAATAGGGGCACCAGAACTGAACCGCATAATCGAGGTGCGGCCTGACTAGCGCAAGATATAGTTGCAATAAGACCTCTGCACTCTTGTTACTTACACTTCTAGATATAAAACCCAATACTCTGATTGCCTTATTTCAAACATTAACGCACTGTTTTCTAGGCCGTAGGTCCGGGCTTACAAGTACCCCTAGGTCTCTTTCACAAGTCGACTTCTCTAGGTTGATGTTGTTAAGGCTGTATACATTATAAGTATTTGTTCTTCCAATATTAAGTACGCTGCACTTGCTGGTGTTGAATTTCATTTGCCATTTTTCAGACCACCCCTGCAGTTTATTTAGATCCACCTGTAATGCATTTGCATCCTGCCCCGAATTAATTTGCCGCCCTATTTTGGTGTCATCTGCAAACTTGCTTTTGTCACTGCTGATCCTAGTATCTAGATCGTTTATGTAGATTATGAACAAGAGCCTTAACTTTTCTCAGAAGCCTCTGATGCGGTACTCTTGTCAAATGCTTTGCTAAAGTCAAAGTAAATAACATCGTAATTTTCGTCATTATCTACTACCTCGAAGACTTTCCTAAAAAACGTCAGCAGATTTGTTAGACAAGATTTTCCCTTTGTAAACCCATGTTGAGAGTCGTAATTTGTTTTTCTCTAAATGCAATCGGATGCTATTTGCTATAATTGATTCAAGAAATTTCCCCACAGGTCGCCCCCAAATACAGTAAGTTAGAGCAGACACACACCCTCCTCCCTACCAACCGTTGATATAGAACAAGAGTGACGTCAGCCATCTACAGTACAGTTGATTATGTAACTCTAGGTTTAATATTACAAACCTGGACACACATACAGCACTTGGTCATGAAGAGAGATATTCCTGACTCTACATCTCGATTCATTTAATGTAGAAATGAATTACCTACGAGACACTACAGTACAGCACATGGAACTGTAGATAAGATGAAATTGTTAGTCCGCTAATACCACTACATGTACAGTACAGTACAACACATTACAGTACAGTACAACACAGTACAGTACAGTACATTACAGTACAGTACAACACAGTACAGTACATTACAGTACAGTACAACACAGTACAGTACAGTACAGTACAACACAGTACAGTACAGTACAGTACAGTACAGTACAACACAGTACAGTACAGTGCAGTACAACACAGTACAGTACAGTACAGTACAGTACATTACAACACAGTACAGTACAGTACAGTACAGTACAGTACAGTACAGTACAACACAGTACAGTACAGTACAGTACAACACAGTAGTACAGTACAGTACAGTACAGTACAACACAGTACAGTACAGCACAGTGCAGTGCAGTACAGTACAGTACAGCACAGTGCACAGTACAGTACACACAGTACAGTACAGTACAGCACAGTACAGTACAGCACAGAACAGTACAGCACACAGTACAACACAGTACAACACACAGTGCAGTACAGTACAGTACAGTACAGTACAGTACAGCACCAGTACCAGTATAGTACAGTACAGTACAGTACAGCACAGCACAGTACAGCACAGTACAGTACAACACAGTACAACACAGTACAGCACAGTACAGTACAGTACAACACAGTACAACACAGTACAGTACAGTACACAACACAGTACAGTGCAGTACAGTACAGTACAGTAGCACAGTACAGTACAGTACAGTACAGTACAGTACAGTACAACACAGTACAGTACAGTACAGTACAGTACAGTACAGTACAGTACAGTACAGTACAGTACAACACAGTACAGTACAACACAGTACAGTACAGTACAGTACAGTACAGTACAGTACAGTACAGTACAGTACAGTACAGTACAGTACAGTACAGTACAGTACAGTACAGTACAGTACAGTACAGTACAGTACAGTACAGTACAGTACAGTATACATCTCCGCTAGGTTACAACAGTGACCCACTTGGCCTCCCCGCGGTGGTTCTGTTCAGCGTTGACTCGGGAGATGAGCTCAGCGCTGAGGTCAGATCGAGTCCTTCTGTAGGTTCCTGGCGCCTCGACCTCGTCCTTGACCCTGGAGGAGGACACAAGGGAGTCTCTGGAACCATACCCGCTGGAGTCCTTGCCTTTGTCATCATCTTGTCTTCGGATGAAGCTACTGTTTTTTGGACGCCACAGCAGCGGCAGCGGCAGCAGCAGCAGCAGCAGCAGCAGCAGCAGCAGTAGCAGCAGCAGCAGTAGCAGCAGCAGGAGGAACACGACGGCGGCGACAGAAGAATGAAAGATGGTGTTAGAGGCGACAGCACTTCGGCCACGGCACCAGCTGGCTACGGTAGGGCGGCTCTCTACTGTACACTACTGCCCTGGTCTCTAAACCCAATAATTAACTTCTAATATATCTTAGTCTTGGTTCATGTTCTTCAACGTTAAAAGTTCACATTATGTTAAACCTCAACGTTCATGATAATTTGATTTATTTCTTTAGTTTATCTGTGTTTAAAATCAAATATTGACTTGAATTATCGTAAGCAACTGTGTGTGTGTAAATTAATCTATTTACTTATTTATATAAAAACTTCCTGTTTATTTACACAGAAATCCGATATTTACTCTTTTCTTGATAAACAATTATTTATATTTTGGAAGAATCTCTCATCTCCAACAAATAAACAAAAAAATGATTATGAAGAACATCACACACTAGAACCGTCTAGGGAGGTCCGGCTAGTGACAACTTCCATTCACCGCCAACATCTCAAAGTCTTCAGTAGTATGTATGTAATTATTCGTGTTTGTGAAGTGTTCCTCTGATTTAATTAATATTTTAGGTGTTCCTCGGTAAGACTTAAACACTCCATCAAGGTGTTGTTACGCTGGACAGAACTTGCAGCGGAAATAGAGGATTAAATCTTGTAATTCCTTTATATAATCGAGGACTATTGTAGAGTGATCCATGGTTATGACACAGTTGATGGAAGAGTTAAATTACTTTATATATCACTTCAGAATGTAATGTTCGAAGATTTGCTGAATAGTTACAGTAATAACAGTTATAATAACATTAGTGGATGGTTTAGTGAGGGTACAGTGAGACCTCCTTATAACGTACTGCTATCTCCATATAATCCGCTAAATGGGGGTTTTCACATCTAACGGATCCTCAATATAACGGACTTTCATTTCCATTTAGTTCGTTAGATGGAAGTTTCACATCTAACGGACCCTTGATATAACGGACTTCTATCTCCATATAATCCGCTAAATGGGGGTTTCGCACCTAACGGATCCTCAATATAACGGACTTCCATATGTATATAGTAGTTCCTCGCGGCCATCAAATATTTACCATGAACCACATGTCAAGGTATTAATCTGCCAGCTATACGAACAGTCATCAACAGTAACTCGGTGACGTTGTTATGTTCAGACTAAAATCTTGATCGCTCCGGTGACAACAATGTTCACGTGGTTGAGAGGTATAAGCCAAGTTAGTTAAGCACAGCCCAACACTTTTCTGGGAGGAATAATAATATTTGGGATGATACTGAGTTATTATGGTGAGGTCAAGCACCATGGGGTCACACGTTGGGTTAGTACACACACACACACACACACAACCTGAGGGTTACACACACAGTAAATAACGATAAACAGGAAATGCGAGAGATTATGACAAACAATTTACAGTATAAAAGTTAAACACAAGTTAAACTATACATTGATAAATTTAACATATGTAGTAAACGTGAGAAACTGGGACAGTGTTAAAAATATCGACAAAAGAAGACTTATTTTATTGATAATGTACAGTACTTCTCGCTAACCTGTTTCTTGGCATGCATCCAGGGATCACCACACACTATAGTACACTGTTTACCACACAGCTCACCGAGAGGCGAGTACAACCACATAATTATAGAGGATTCCTGAGTTATAGGAAGAAAACTAAAGTACATATTTACTAATATAATATAACAAAATATAATAATACTGAATATGACTAAAAAAACTAATTATATATCTTAAACTACAGAAATATTGAAGCATGTTGAGTTTCATTACTGAGGATTGGAACTATTTCAACAAAATTATATGAATTCTCTTCTATGAAAAACTTCAAAGGAGATCATTAAAAAAAAAGATCAAACTAATTACTCTAAATTCAGCTGCTATCCCATAACAGTCTCTAATGTCATAATTACGTAAAGAAAAATACAATAATTTTAGCAGTTCTCTAAACACCATGACAGACAGACAGACCTGAGAACTATACTAACCACTTGACACACACCACAACACTACAGGACTACATTTGACCAGTTCTCCAGTATAAGAACTAACAGGAACTAATACTAAGTGGTACTAACAAGTGTACTAGCTGTTGTGATGACGTAACTACTAGCATGAATCAGTGTAGAAGACGTCTACTAGCTCCGTAATGTTGTGGTGACGTAGCTAACCAAGATAGTAAATAGCATGAATCAGTGTATGGTAGAGGAGAGAGAAAGAGACTTAGTGTGTATGGGTGTATGGTAGAGAGAGAGAGAGAGAGAGAGAGAGAGAGAGAGAGACTTAGTGTGTATGGGTGTATGGTAGAGAGAGAGAGAGAGAGACTCACTTGGTGTTAGGGTCGTAGCTGGATAAGGAGTTGAGTGATGTGGTTGACCCCGATTGTTCCTTAACGCTCTTGTGGTCATTGTAGTCCCTGGAATGGAATCAAACACCATTAATTACTTTCTAAACAAGTAAAAAAAAATTCTGCTCTCATTAATAAGCAATATGATCTTTGTGTTCAAGGAAAGATTGTCCAAATTATTATCAATGAAAGAAATTATTATGACATAATCTAGGTAAATAAACTTGTAAAAAAAATACATAAAGTGAAGAGAGATTATAGTACATGTGTTATATACAAGTATTTCCTAATTATTGTAAATTATCTACAAATAATATAATCCTACGTGTTTTTAGTTTATTTCTAGAAACATGTTGCTATTAAGGTTAGGTTAGGTAGTGGTATAGTAGACACAGTGTTTGGGACAGCTGGTGAACAATAGGTGGTGGTGGTGCGGTAGTGGTCTGGTGCCACATAACCCGGTCACGTGTTGCACCAGTGTACCCACAGCCACCACCACCACCACCACCACCACCAAAAAGGCTACACAAGTTACTGTGTGATGGTGCAGCAGTTGATGGTACAGGGAGGAGAAATACCGAACACCGAGGATATTACCTGTACTGTACACTGTTCTCACCTGACCATGTGTGTGTGTGTGTGTGTGTGTGTGTGTGTGTGTGTGTGTGTGTGTGTGTGTGTGTGTGTGTGTGTGTGTACCTGATATTTGTGATGACTTGATAACACTATGTTTTACTACAGGTAGACAAACTGTACAGCTCATAGTGTGTAGAATATAATTGATGATGGTGTGTTACCCACTTGTGGTGGATTGCACGTGGGTGTGGTGGAGTATACGTGGGGTGCGTGGTGGAGTGCACGGGGTGTGGTGGGCACGTGGGGTATGGTGGAGTGCACGGGGTGTGGTGGAGCACGGGGTGTGGTGGGTGCACGTAGGGTGTGGTGAGTGCACGTGGGGTGTGATGGAGTGCACGTGGGGTGTGGTGGAGTGTACATGGGGTGTGTGGAGTACACATGGGTGTGGGAGTGCACATGGGGGTGTGGTGGAGTGCACATGGATGTGGGTGTGACATGAATGTGGGAGTACATGGGGGTGTGGAGTGTGCATGGGGTGTGGGTGGAGGTACATGGTGTGGTGTGTGTGGGTGGAGTGCACGGGGGTGTGGTGTACACATGGGTGTGGTGGAATGTACATGGGGTGTGGTGGAGTGGAGTGGTGCACATGGGGTGGTGGATGGGGTGTGGGGTACACATGGGGTGTGGTGGAGTACACATGGGTGTGGTGAAGCACACATGGGGTGTGGTGGAGTACACATGGGGTGTGGTGGAGTACACATGGGGTGTGGTGGAGTACACATGGGGTGTGGTGGAGATTTTTCAAGAATATATCACGATAGCTTTGGTTAGGTTACGTTAGGCTAGGTTAGGTTAGGTTAAGTTGTGATAATTTGTGGTTTAACTCCTCATGTTTTCCCTTCCTGCTTGAGTTATCATTCTCTCTCTTCTTCATCACATCCCCATTCATGTCCCGGGCTTCTCACTCCACACTCATCTCCTCCTGTCATAACCTAACCTAACCTTACTAGTATACTGATGCAGATGGTGAATGATCACATTTTAGTTGTTCGTGTTAGTCAGATTGTTTCGTGTGTTCAAGTATCGGTTCACACGTTCAGCCATTTGACTTCCTCTCGTCTCTAAGTAAACATTGTACAGACGAGCAGACACGTGTGAGAGATCTGTACCATCAAGTTAGTGTTTACGCTTCTCAACCTGAATACTTAAGTAAAGCAATGACAGCTAACTTTTCCTCGCTAGTTGTAGAAGTGTTAATGCGCCTACCTGACTCAGTCAACCAACATGGCGTCGTAACTATACTGAGACTCTACCATAGACTGATAGGTTTGTTTATCATTAGTTAATGAGGAAATAACTTAACAAGTATGTGACCCAGGTGGCAACACTGTTAAAGCCAGAAGGTTGTTGCTAAGTATAGCATCACTATCGACCCCCCCCCCCCCAGTACCCAGACAAGACCTCATGTTACGATCTTAACTCTTCGATACACCGCCAGAAAATGATCTTTATAAACCGTACTCGGATATCCTAACATAACCTAACCTAACCTACAATGTTCTATTTGTTAACAGATTTCCACCATTGATGAATTTCCTATGTCCCTGTACACGACACAACCAAACTAATGTTACTATTGTATAAACAGTGCGGCGGGCGAGTGGATACAGTACTCGTCAGCTTTCCTACAGGTCACTAGTTCGTACCCAGAGCGCCACTCACATCACCTATTATTACAGTGTGTGTGTGTGAGACCTTGGCCTAGAAAGATTAGCTTCGTCAATACAATGAAAATCACTATACCTGTACAAGTTGATGGTCAGGATGTAGCACATGTTATATACTTCTTAAAGGAAGTCTATCTGTTTCCCTCCTGCCCATACTCACCATTCCCGCGTGTGTGAGAGAGAGATACTACCACAAAGCTACCATTGACTGGTGTAACATTCCCCGGTATTAGCCAAAGTGCTCAGAATTAAGGAAGTGTTAAGAGACCCAGTGCCCGGTCGACCAGTAGAGTGTAGTGGATGGTGGCTCATGATAGGTACGGGTGATGGGTACAAGTGATAGGTACACGTGATGGATACAAGTTATAGGTACACGTGATGGATACAAGTTATAGGTACAGCAATAGGTGGCGGGTTATGGAATAAAACATAGAGTAACTTTAGAAGCGTGTCACTCACCTGAAGCAGCGCTTGCACCTGTTGGGCCAGCGGGTCTGGGGGTGGAAGCCCAGCGGACAGAGTGGATCGTTGACCTTCGGCATCGTCTCACTCCCGGGCCGCGCTGCTGTCAACACAACATTATCATTACACTCGACTGAATACATCAAAACCTATTAAAATAATGCAATGGATAATTAACGTGTATCTGTCTGTTCCAGCCTTAGATCCAAAACGGAAGCAATTAGAGGTCTGAAGGTAAGGTAAGGTAAGGTAAGGTAAGGTAAGGTAAGGTAAGGTAAGGTAAGGTAAGGTAAGGTAAGGTAAGGTAAGGTAAGGTAAGGTAAGGTAAGGTAAGGTAAGGTAAGGTAAGGTAAGGTAAGGTGAGACAGACTGTGTAAACACTAGGTATAAATATTTACAACCAACCAACGTAGCGGCAACACTTGACTCAGGGTGAGGGTAGAGTCTATCATCTTTGTTATTGTCTAAAACTATGGTGTCTAGCATCACCTATAATATGTTGAGAGAGAGAGAGAGAGAGAGAGAGAGAGAGAGAGAGAGTAAACAAAGCTTGAACATCATAATACACAATGACCTGGTTGGTGGAGAGGGGTGGCAGTCAAGCTAGTAGACCTAAGCAATAACTGGTCAACTTTAAGTATAATAATGAAGTGTAGTTTATAAGACTTTGTGATCACCGGAGTTAATGTCTTATGTTAAATGGATCAGCGGTAATTATCTGAGATATTTCCCACCCATTGCAGCTACCATATATACAAATATACATACATACACACATACATACATACATACATACATACATACATACATAAATACTGTACACACATACACACATACATACTTCTCTTTTACAAAATTTTACCTTTTCGTCCTCAAAATAAAACAAGATTCAATTTGCTTATAAAAACAAGTTAAAAGCCTTGTTATATTATTATGAACCTTAATGCAGGATAGTCAATGTTATATTAACCTTCATTTAACATAGCTGTTTACGTGTAGTTTAAAAAGTATTTATAAATTTGTCTTAACTCTTGCTTACGTTCTAAATTGTCTCTTGTCTTGATAAATTAATAAGTTCTGTGACAAAGACTCTCTCTCTCTCTGTATGTCTAACTGTTAGGATAGGTTAGGTTATAATGATGCTTTAAGACCTGTAATATTAGAAAGTTAAGACGAATTCCCTGTTTACATGAGACGTCCAGCCAAGAATGTTGTCCCCGCCCGAGGTAGAGGAGACGTGACGTGTAGCGTGAGTCAGACCAACGCCGCCCACCTTATATATTTACTCTAAATTTAATGATACTTTTATTTACGTTGTTGTGGTGTTGTCATATTTATCATCATTTTCCTATATAAAACTCCATTATAATTCCATTCAATTATCTTGGGTCTATTATTCCATTAAATTATTTTGGATTTGAATTATTTTTTGCTCTATTTTGTATCCAGCTTTTAAAGTTATCCAACAATTACCAGACCAAAGGTGAGATAGTTTATACCATTCCTCAATTATCCAACACTTAACTTTGATAAGAGTAACACACAAACAGCGGCCATCAGTTGGCAGAAAAGAGCAGAAAGATTTATGTGAGGGAAACCCTGAATGTGACTGAGAGAAGGTAGACAAACGTGTGTGTGTGTGTGTGTGTGTGTGTGTGTGTGTGTGTGTGTGTGTGTGTGTGTGTGTGTGTGTGTGTGTGTGTGTGTGTGTGTGTCTGTGTGTGTGTGTGTGTGTGTGTGTGTGTGTGTGTGTGTGTGTGTGTGTGTGTGTGTGTGTGTGTGTGTGTCTGTGTGTGTGTGTGTGTGTGTGTATGTGTGTGTGTGCACGTGTGTGTGTGTGTGTGTGTGTGTGTGTGTGTGTGTGTGTGTGTGTGTGTGTGTGTGTGTGTGTGTGTGTGTGTGTGTGTGTGGGGGTGTGTGTGTGTGTGTGTGTGTGTGTGTGTGTGTGTGTGTGTGTGTGTGTGTGTGTGTGTGTGTGTGTGTGTGTGTGTGTGTGTGTGTGTGTGTGTGTGTCTGTGTGTGTGTGTGTGTGTGTGTGTGTGTGTGTGTGTGTGTGTGTGTGTGTGTGTGTGTGTGTGTGTGTGTGTGTGTGTGTGTCTGTGTGTGTGTGTGTGTGTGTGTGTGTGTGTGTGTGTGTGTGTGTGTGTGTGTATAGTGTGTGTGTGTGCAAAGCCTAGAATCACCTGTATCATCCCTGGCATGCCACAGGTCATTCTTCTTGGGCTGAGAGTTTTGTTAACAAGTGATCGTCAATAATGGTGGTTTGTTTTAAGTCACAATTTGCAAGATTAAAGGATGATTAAAACCTCAGTGCCTGCCCTAAAGTGACTTGTAAGGATAGGATGGATGACTATATAAGATAAAGCTGTGGGTTAGGTTAGGTTAGGTTAGGTTAGGTTAGTTAGGTTTAGGTTAGGTTAGGTTGAAGAAGCAAGTAGGTATTGACTATAACAGAAACGAGTTTGAAGGTGGTGTGGTGTCCTCCCCATTGACCATTTTTCCTCACTATTTATATATTGAATAAGTCATTAGCAGAGTTTCTTTAATATTATAAAATAAAGATAAATGATGGTCGTACAAACACTGTGTAGACAAGCTTGTGTCTGCTGTGACGCAGGCTGGCATTGATCTCGTGATAGTATTCAGCAATTAGTGAGTTATTCCAACCCTCTGGCAGGAAGCTGGTCCACCCAGGTGTTCTCCCGTCACCAACTAGCGTACACCAGATAGCGTATACTCATTACTGCCCAGTAGTGTACACAAGGGCCCATACAGTCACTCAAAAAACTATCTACAAAAAAAGTGTAGACAACTAACGAAGGATTTTGACAGTCCTACCGAGTCACAGTGTTCATTATGGAATTCATCGATCATCCTAAGTACAGGTAGTTTTACGAGTGGCTGTACAAAGACGTGTATACAGTCAGTCACTATTGGAAGCACAATATATTAATACACAATTTTAATTTCATCAATATACCAAAAAAGTATAAACATTTCTGGCGACGTGACTTAAAACGAGAACATTGTCCACGATGCACTATACCGACCTGACACACACACACACACACACGTCAGGTCACCGTGCCAACTCTCCTTGCCCCCCCCTTTGGTCTCTACCTCGCCAAGGAATTGAAACCTTTCCAACTTTTCCCCGTGATAGTCCATACGGCTCAACACTCTAGTGATGGACGGATTAATGTGTTCGACGGTTAAACAAAGACTATGAAACAATGTGACGAAAATGAAAGGAATTTGTATATAGTGAGAAGAACAAGCAGGCTATCTGAGGGTAATTGTAGCATGTATGTGGATGATGTCTTTTGTGAGTGACTAACAACTGAACTATTCATAACCAAACCTAATCTAACCTAATATAACCTAACCTAGCCAAACCTAACCCGACCTGCTAAGATTATTGAAAAGGTGTTAACCCCAAGTCCGTTCATCCTACAGTTGATACTTAATACAACAGGTGTCATCTCTGGCTTCTGTCAGGTCAGGTTAGGTATAAAGCTATTCATTTATATGCAAGAAACACATAGAACTTATTGCAATTAGGCGATTAACCCTATTTAGCAACACACACACACACACACACACTTCTCGAGCACACAAATGCATTATACCTCTCTCTCTCTGTGCCAAATAGCCGACCTGCTGGAGGCGATACAAGGGGAAATATTACACAGGATTATAAGGCTGTGATCTGACTGTAAACAACACTCAATAAAAGACATTTTAACTGGGTCATGGGGTCACAACTAACCAGGTCGACATAACACTGGAGGGTAATGGTTGTTATCCCTTACCTCATACTGTACTACCTTACCCCATACTGTATCACCCTCCTCATACAGTACTACCTCCCTCATACTACCCTCCTTACTAACTACTCCCAAATTACCCTCCCTTATACTGCATCACCTCCCTATACTTACTCGTCATATTACACTCCTTATACCCTCATACTCAACATTATCATAGCTGTCGTTATCATACCTGCCACAATTAGACTCCCCTTATACATATACTTGCATTCCTTATACCTGTCCATCATACTTTCATTCCTTATACCTGTTATCATCATACCTGCATTCCTTATACCTGTCATCATCATACTTTCATTCCTTATACCTGTCATCACTATACCCGCAGTCCTTATACCTGTCATCATCATACTTTCATTCCTTATAACCTGTCATCATCATCATACCTGCAGTCCTTATCTGTCATCATCATACCTTCATTCCCACTGTCATCATCATCATTCCTGCAGTCCTTATACCTGTCATCATCATCATACCTGCAGTCCTTATACCTGTCAAAATCATCATACCTGCAGTCCTTATACCTGTCATCATCATCATACCTGCAGTCCTTATACCTGTCAAAATCATCATACCTGCAGTCCTTATACCTGTCATCATCATCATACCTGCAGTCCTTATACCTGTCATCATCATACCTGCAGTCCTTATACCTGTCAACAACATCATACCCGCAGTCCTTATACCTGTCATCATCATCATACCTGCAGTCCTTATACTGTCATCATCATCATCATACCTGCAGTCCTTATACCTGTCATCATCATCATACCTGCAGTCCTTATACCTGTCATCATCATACCTGCAGTCCTTATACCTGTCATCATCATCATCATCATCATCATACCTTCCATTTTATTCCTTGCTCATTATTCAAGTTTATTCCTTTTCCCTTATACTCTTCCCTCCCTTTCGCCTTATTCTCCCTCCTCCTTCTCCCTACCCTCCCCCACCCCTCCCTACCTCCCTCCTTCTCCGTACCTCCCTCCCTCCCTACCTCCTCTCCTAGTGTAATACAGGTTAGGATAGTGGAACAGGTAAAGGTGGTGGAGGGACGGAGTGAGCTGAGAGAGGAGAGAGAGAGAGAGAGAGAGAGAGAGAGAGAGAGAGATTAGATTAGGTTAGGTTTCGTTAGGTTTAGTTGGTTAGGAATTATGTCCCAGAATTGGTAATATGACCACGTGTTATCGGTGCCTCAACTGCTCCATCAAGTGACACTCCAAACTCCTCCCTACCAAGTGACACTCCAAACTCCCTCCTACCAAGTGACACT